ATAAATGGTTGCTCTGGTTGTTGGAAGGGGCATCGGCCTCGTAACTTCCGAAGGAACTCGGCTTTAATCACGAGGCGTCATAGTTCTTCTAAATGAAGACCTTCTGACTCCCAGGGCAGAGTTTAAAAAGTTTGAATAATCTTTTCTGGTTAGCGTTTTTTTAGCGAGTTAGTTTTCTACGGAGTAGGGACGCTAACCCCATGCCCAACCCTCTTCCTTTATCCGGGCTTGGGACCGGCAGTAGCCCCCGGAGGGACTCCAGCCGGAGTTACTATCTCACAACTGATCTGGTTGAACTTCACTGGTCACTGCTTCCCAGATACTAATCAACATATACTCACCAGTGACTGGCTTCAAGATGTATCTCTGTGAGTTCTAGTGGAAAGCAGTGACCAGTGGAGTTCAATCAGGTCAGTTGTGAGATAAATTAGTTGATTAATCAACGAATAAGCTAACCAGAAGTAATTTTTTGTGAATAAAACTGTTTGGGTAGAAACAAAGGAATCACATGGTAAACATTAGAGATTTTAGGACTTTTCTGTAGTGAATAAGAACATGAGTGGGGACAACAGAATGTATTACCACACAAAATTACAGAGCATTTCACTAAAATCCGAGAACCGTACAGTAAATAGATGATTTGCAAAATATCAATCAGTTGTCTCAAACTTGCTGTTTCGTTTACAAATATCAGTTAATCGTCTCAGATTTCATTGTTCATGCATTTCCATACCAATTGCTCTTCGTTCTCGTTCTTTCCCTCTCGATCTTCCATGGAAATAGATTCTATGTCTGACCATCGTTATATACTACTGATGTGGATAGAAGTAGCTTACACCTCAATCAAGTCACTGTTACCCCACAAAACATATAATGATTGGCATTTGACACTAATGATAAACAACTTAGATATCCGAAGTTTATCATACATAAAGCGCACAAGAACCATATACTTATAAACATGGTGACACCATAAATTCAATAGCTAGCTGAAAAGAAATATTGATTTAACCATGTGCTTTTTATACATACATAAGTGAGAGGAAGTCATTTATCTTAAATGGAAAGATTTACTCGGTGCCATAAATTCATGGACTTCTTTATTGTGATTATATCAAAATTCAACCAAATACATTTATGTAATACAGCTTATGAACAATTGACAAGAACATAACTAAATAGAATCAACTTATATGACTTTGATTGAATCGTAGTCGATAGGATTTGATCTACACTAAAAAAAGACCTAAAACATGTGACATTTATCATCACCCAGTGATCAATCATTTGTTAGTAGATGAAAATCTTTATTTGTGTTCATTTTCCAAAGAAAAATAAACCTGAATACATGAATAATATTTATAATCATAGAAGATCAAATTAGAATTGTGTTAATAATTACTTTTATCTTCAGTGAGTTATTATTTCACAACAGACCTGGTAACTGTTTCTCAATAGAATTCCAGGAAATACTTCTTGAAGCTAGTCACTAGTGAGCATAGGTTCTGGGTTCGGATCACGCGAGATGGAACCGTGGATGTACACTTCTGGGGAGTCCAGTACTTTCAGGTTTTCCATGGTGGTTTAGCTTCAATTGACTCATAATGTTAACTACTAAAATTACTATAATATCCATAAAAACCCCATATGATTTTAATTACTTTTATTACAGTAAATTAATATAGTTTTGTGCATGAAACTAATCTACTTCAGTATTTCCAACTAACAACATTTTACATGGATAATATCTATATTTAATTAGAATAAGTACTGGTAATCATGTTACCAGTTCTATATGTGATATCATATTTGATTTAGTGCATTATAAAGACAGGTTAACTTGTGATTATTGGAACACATAATGAGGTAGGTATGTATTATAATGAACTAGTGAATAATTGAATCAAAGTAATAAAATAAATAATGTTCAATGATCACACATTGATATCAATAACAATAGTAATAATAAAAATAATAAATTTGTATAAAATTACATTTTCCCATTTAAATACTATAACCCATATATATATATGCCTAATTAACTCAACAAATAACTGTATTTTCATTTATAATACTACTCCCTTGTATAAGTACGTAACATGTTATTGTGATAATCCGATAAATTATGCGTATATTTATACACATATAGAGAATATTTTCTAAGTTTAGATTGACATCATGAATAGGTCAACGTTAGATCAACATTGAAAATGTGGAAGAAATGGACTCATGAGCAGTGGATATCCATAATCTCAGAAAAGGCAGTCGAATTTAAGACCCCTGGTCTTGTACACTAACGCTTAACCTGTAGACCATTGACCTAGCATCCAACAGTGTCTGTTGTAAGGTAGTTACTCACTAAAAACAACGGAAGATGGTCGTACAATTTCATTGATTGATTGAAATTAGACATTAAAACCGACTCACTGGACTAGAGGCTAAGTGTTCGCGTGTGACACAAAAGGTTCTAAGTTCAAGTCCTTTGTGCAGGATTGTGGATGCTCATCACTCACGAATTCCACACAAAAACGAAACGACCATCCAGTGTTTCCAGGTTTTCAATGATGGATTACCATTGATCCATTCATGATATCAATCAAAAAACTTACTCATCTCGACAAACTTATACTGATATTTTCTAAGTACTTGGAAAACTGCTCTATTACAATTTCGAACAATATGAATACTTACACTTTTAAGTATTCTATTATTATTATTATTCTGTCCTATTAACCTTAAGATTGGAAACGAAAGTAAGATAAATAAATAAATAGAGCAACGAGAAAAAAAACAAGTAAAAGCAGATGTTTAGAAAATAAATAAAATTATTGTTTATATTAATGAAAAATTGTAAACAAATAGAATATTATATAGTGAACTTATGAACTAGTTGTGAAAAAAAGAAAAAAAGAAGAAAAAGAAGAAGGAGAATGAGTGATGTAATTTAGTGCAATCAAACAAATATTATCAATGATGAATAAATTGAATTTGAGTTTCGAAATGATCAAATGAATTAAATTGGCTTAATATTAAAAGAGTTTAGCTTAGATTATTCTATTATTTTTGTTGTTGTTTAAAATGTTACATTGAATGAAAGGGAGGGGGAAGGGGAAACATCATTGTAAATTAATAATAAATATATATTTTTTGTGTGTGTATGTGTATGTATGTTTAATCCTAATGAGTAGTAAAAATTGCATCTTTCCTTTATTTTTCTCATGGTTTCGAGACTAAATATAAGCCACTTCTTCGGAATAAACAAACAGCTAAAATCAAAATTATAATTGAATCTGAATATGTCAGTGATAAGTTATTCTTAATCAAGAAGAATTTGTATGACATGTTACTGTGTAACGATTGGGCACACAAGCGGAGACAATGGAATGTATTTGAGCACAAAATTACAGAATCTTTTAGTAAAATCTGAGAATCATACAATAAATGCATCATTTGCAAAATATCAATCAAATGTCTCAAACTTGACTGTTCCTTCATTTCCACAGCAATCATTCACTGTTCTCGTTTTATTTTCTTTGATATTTTTAACCTTTGCTGCTAGACATTCTATTCCTGACTAGTGTTATATACTACTTATATCTGTCGACATAAGTAGCATACACCACAATTGTATTAAACTATGCATTTGTGATATGAAGTAATGAGGTTGAAATTGGGTGTGTATGCAGATTGTGTGGAAGATAAATAAAGTCAAATGTCGTTGTACGGATAAATAATCCAGGTTGGATGATTAGTCAGTCCTTCTTTCCTATTGAGGCCACAGGAATTAAGCATTATATGAAACGCTTAGGCTACTCACCACTTTTAATATAATTGATAAAAACCTTTCTGGATAACATTGAGTCACGAAACGTTTGATGCAATACAATTTTTCAACTCATTAGGATATAACAAAAGATATATATTTAACAGTATGGGGTTGTGGAGATTGTTAAGCCTTTGATTGACATCATGAATGCATCAATGTTAAACCACCACCGAAAACCTAGAAACACTGGACGACCGTTTCGTTCTAATATGAGACTCTACATCCGTGAGCATCCACGATCCCGCTGAAGGGACTCGAATCAAAGACCTTTGATCTCACACGCAAACACCTAACCTTTAGACCATTGAACCAGTATCCAGCGGTGTTAATGTCTAACTTCAACCAATCCACGAGATTACACAACCATCATCCATTAACTGCGATAGATATCTGTCTCTACCTGACATGAATTAGCTCTACTAGTCACGGCTTCTTACTAGAACTTTCAACCCAATGCTTAATTTATTTGAAACAATCAAGTACAAATTTAGCATCGATGCTTATAAAATCGTTGTAAACTATAATTTTGAATAGAAGTAAACGTTTGAAAATCAATTCGTTATTAACTATTGTTCATTGTAAAACGGTGTCCTAAATACTCATCACAAACACTTATATTTCTATGAACTGTTTTGTTTAGCTAAATTTTAACTTGATATGAGTTATAAATATATCAATATATGTGTAATATTTCAATGAGTAGAAAAAAAAATTAGATTTTCTGACGTTTCGTGACTTAGTGTAAGCTACTTCCTCAGAGAACAAATACCCAAATCCATTTATATGAGTTAATTCGTTTTGAGTTTGTTAAACATAGAACAAATGAACATGTTAATGTGACTATTTGTGTTTAATAAAGATGTACTAAACGCAAGAGAATATAATGTTTTGAATATTTTAATAAATGAAAATATGCTATTTATTCTTCCTAGCAACATAAATGAACGTAAAAGATAACCCACTTGCATTTAGTAAGTAATATAACCTGTGAATCATTGAACAGATGTTACTTTATAATGTCAATTGATTACAAAAATATTAGTTGAACAGATTTTTATAAGTAGAGATGGATAATGGCTAACAGTGAAATCAATGACGCGTGTTTCGTCTTATTTGGGACTCATCAGTTAATTCATCACAATTCTTTTGTATTTTTCTATTTAAAATTCAATAGGCAATGGTTATATTGAAGGTTCAGAATTAGACAATTTTCTACGTGAATTCATCTATAGTGTATTTTCTGAAGAATTAGGAAATGAGGTAAGTGTGAAGTATTTCTTTAATTAATATAGTTTCATGATTTATATTAAAGTGTTTAGGATTGGTCTTATTTAACTGATGAAAGTAAATCACACGTTTTCTATATAAATAATTTGTTTCTTTCTGTAGCTAGGCATTAGTTAACAGTCTATATTGTATTTAGTGTTATGTACAGTGCTGAGGAGTCCCACAATAAGACGGAACGGGCGTCAATTGCTTCCAGGTTTTCAATGGTGGTCTAGCTTTAATTGATCCATTATTTCACCTATAGAAATTGTTATTAATTAATTTTATTTTAATACATAAATATTGGTACAAAGAGGCAATGAATACATATGCGTCACACAAGTCATTTGATTTATGTGGACTGTGATGCTGCCCGGCCGCCCAAACCGAAACGGATGTTTTTCTTGAGGAACCACATCCGGAGCCTTTGACTTAAAGGTCTCATTCATAAGGCAGTGGAGAATCGTAGAGAAATGCATTCCCATGGTAGCCGGTGACCAACGATTGATTCGTACGCCAGTTGTTCCTTCAGAATATTGGACCCCATTTCCACCACAGGTTAAACCAACGGACATTCGCTTTTCATCCTCTAAATTTCGTAAGCAACATTAATACCGTGAGAAGGCAGTGAGTAGGAATTCCCTGGTACTGGCTGTATACGCGTTACCATGTGAGAGCATTCGGAGAGGGGTAGATAACTGTCCTCACCCTCGGTCGTACCAGGGCATTTAGACGTTAACAAAACGAATCTAATTATAAGTCAGTAAGCTATCGATTATCAGAATATGAAGAATTATTTTTATTTAGTGAATAGAGAATATAGAACTGTCTTATGGAAAAAAGATGTTACGTTTATTCGGGATCATACATCTCCCTCTGTATATTATACGAAGAAAACTAAATATTGGTCATATATTCTTGGATAGATTGGAAAAGTATTTCTACGTGAATTCAATGTCTGGTTTCAACTAAATTTACAAAGAAAATGTTTCTTGATGTCATTATTTATCATTTAGTTAATACTGAAGAATAATGTTCCAAAATATAGTGAGTATCTCTAGTAAGCTTACTTACTTAAGTAATCAGAGTAATATAATTGGGTTCATAGAAACATTTGAATTGGTTATAACATTTATAGACTCCCAAACGTAATAATTTATCATTACTCAGTGAACTCACTAATGAATGACTAGAAATCAATAGGTATAACATTGATACGCTAAACGTTCTTCTTTAGCTGATAATGTGAACATTAAACTGTAGTAAGTTTATATGTTATCAGACTTTTCATTTCATTATTTATTTAAATCATCTATATTCCTAGGAAATCTAATAAGTATGGATAACTTAGCAAATAAGTGATCAGTTATAAAGCGGTACAATGATGTAAAAGATTTTTAATCTTTCTAGAACGCTTAGAAAATACATCCACTTTGTTTATAAATTTTAAAAAAATCAAAGATAACTATTTTGTACTATTGTAAAATCTCTCTACCTTAATGGTCTACGACTTTCAGGTGCATGATGAGTATATTACCTTCAAATTATTAGAATTCAGTTATTCACATTTCTAAATTCAGTCTATTCGGTTTATTGTATTAATATCATTCATTGACCACCTTAAGTTCGACCTAGTGAAACTCCAATGTTTTCAGCACCTTTTCAAAAATTCATGAGTTTTTTTCGTGAGAAACTGCAATCAATGAAGTTCAGCTATGTTCGGCGTCAAACAAGTAGCACTGATAAGAATGGTTGATGATCACAAAGTTAAATCAAGTTCGTCATTTCAACTAGAAAAATATTCATGATCTCAACAAAAATTCTACACTACGAACTTAGAGATAGAAAGATTCATTAGAAAATTAAACTCATAAATAATAAAAAAACAAAGCTAAATTCAAATAACAACATAGTGATCATTTCTGCCTTCTCTTATGTTGAAGACTATGATGTAGTTCGGTAGATAATGGTGTTAATACATTTAAGTTTTCATTTACTACTTAGTTCGATCTACTTAATAAGTACATTTTCAACTTGAATGATAACGTTTTATTCAACGGGTGTTTGATACTAATTAGTGAGAAATCAAAAAATAATAATGGTTGAGGGGGGGGGCTAATCGAGTGAAACGGGAATGGTGCAACCAACATCTTACTTCGAAGTTACACTTAGCAATCAGCACCTAAACCGGTTTACCCCTTCGTCGTATCAAGGTACTATTGCTGCTTTGATGATCGTATAACACAAAGGACGTTATCGCAGAAATATACTAGTTTGAGTAGTTACAAACAAAAATGTGACGACTACCGTATGGGCCAGTCCATGGAGTAAGATTAACTGATGCGCGTTGGTTGTGCTAGACCTTGACGGGGATCGATGAACTGTTCGATATTCAATGGCCCAATAGTGAAATGATTCGTCTAGGGCTCAGTGATATTTCACTGATCCTATAGAAGTATATGTTTGAAATAAAATGAATAGAAATCTGTGGTCATTTATGGGTTAGTGTGACATAAAATGGAATTCTTATCTGTAGTCCATATGATAGCATGAAAGATTGACTAAATCAATGAATATTTATATTAAATTAACTTCAAGAGAGGACCTGAAATTTACATTATGAGACAATTGCAAAGTACTTTTTTAAGTTATAAGTTTCACTGTTTTTTATGACTTTCGTATGGATAGTAATGTTCTTGTTAAGAAATCAGTTTAAAACAAAAAAGCTTAAGTGATGTGATTATATCGAAATAACTAGTGAGACTATAATTTATGGACAACCATTGAACAACGTTAAACTGATCTTGAGAACATCCCCTATTCACTAGGGCTAAATAGGGGTTAGAAAACAGTGTAAAGAATAAGGATTATGGTTTACAGTTGATGGTTAAGGTTAGGAATTAGATTTATGGTTTTCATCACAAATTGACATCATCTAGAACTCCAAAACGTTATCTAGTCAAATAGATAAATGGATTTCGCGCCGAAATTCAAAACCCGTTCTCCCAAACTGATTGGTTTGTCCATAAATTATAGTCTCACCAAATACATAACATAATTAACCTTTATAATCCATTTTAGTAGTTTAAAATTATTACTTAATTGTACACAATGATGTTCTTATAAAGATAATAAACGTACTTTTATTAAATACAATATGCGGTAGACAGTTAACAACAACATGACTATCTTTACACAATCAAGAGAATCTGTTACAGAATTATAATTCCTGACGAACTTATTAAAGAGTAATTTCAAACAACGAAAAGACATCATTGAAAAGTGAATGGCTCAGTATACCTGCTATGAATTTCATAGCACAGTTCACTAACCAGACTACAATGGGTGAAACTTAAGTACCTCGAACTACTTGATGTGTATGAACTGAGGCACAATGCATTTAAACAGCTTTATGTGTAATACAGTTGTCATTCAAATAATATTGGTAAGAATTACTTCTCTATATGATTTGTAGGTACTATATTCGTTACTGCATGAAATGATAAGTGTGGACTAGTAGAAATATTTAGACATGAACTAAGCATACTTCTTAGATTTTCCTAACTCTTTAGTTTATCCTAGTACATGAAGATTATCTGTCGCACTCTTCGAATCTAAATCAATCAAACATCGATTAGAATTACCCTTAAAACTAAACTTTGAATGGTAGAAGAATCAAATTTGTCATATGTAATAATAAACTGTCACATCATTTGCTTATCACTTACTGTATTTGATCATTACAAAAATAAGAAGATACAATATATCATATGAAATCATTAGGAAAAGACAAATAGAAAGGTTTTCTATGATACGTACATATATAGTACCAATGAATGAATAATTGATTACATCATTCAATCACTAATTAATTTCGTTTGAATAAATATGGTCTAGGGAAACTAATTATTAGTAGCCGTATGAACATATTATAGCATCCAAGCAAAGGAAAAAAGAACTGGTAATACTCTGTTGAGATTATTGATAATAAACCAGTTTATAGTAAGACAATAATAGTAAATGTGTCATTGTTGTTAAATATATATACATTTATGATTACATAAATAGTAATCTGTTTTACTTCATTGAATGTTTCCTATTCAATAATTAGAATGAAAGACGTCATTTGTACAATGAAATGACGATAGGTCATAGCTAAACTTATTAACTTTATTATTTAATTTTGAGACTAATTATAAGATTAATTCATTATTGTATTGGTTATTTAATTACTGCCGTTGATGTTTAGAACTTGTATAGATTGCCTTGATATTACCTTAGGTCACATACATTATAAGCAGAAATGGTTGGTGGCTAATACCGTACTGCACGAACCAGTTGCTATCTGGACTCAGTAGCTAAGTCAATAACACGATGGTGATTGAAGTGAATGGTACTGGGTTCGAGTCCTGGAGTGAACCTCAACTCAAAAATAAAGATATATCTAGATGACGAGTCCCGAACAAGACTAAACGCCCACCGAACTGGATTCCATTGCTATCCACTATTCATCTTTGATTATTTATTTTCAATAGTCAAGAAGATGAATTGTTATATTCCATAAAAAGATTAGTACTTTAAGTAAAACAAACAATGTTTATCCCTTGTCTTATTTTTATTATCACTGAAGTTAACATTTAAGTTGTTAACTAATTAGTAATAAAACCAAAGAAAAGATTTTAGTTGTGTACAGGTAGTTTTCAACAAAGACTAACAGCATTCAGTGAATAATTAAATTAAATTAAATACTTGAATTAAATTCAGTTGGTATTGTATATTTGAATCTTTCCATTAATGTTTAGAACTGCGATTGATCAGTCTCTTATTGGTATATGTGCATACTGTGCCTATTGCCTTAATTCACAAGCATCATATGGAGAGATGGATGATGGCTAGGAGTGGAATCCAGGATGCATGTTTCGTCCTATTACATGGATATATCCGTTGCACAAGCGAGTGGCTATCAGGACTCAGTAGTTAAGTGGACAAGGAGATGGAGTTTGATTTCGAGTCCCAGAGTGAACGTCAACTCAGAGATGCAAGTATATCCGGCTGACGAGTCCCATATAGGAAGCAATATACGTCAAACTAGATTCCATTTCTGGCCACTATCCATTTTTTGCTTAAATACCTGAGTTGTTTAAATTTTGTACTATAGTGACCCGATATGATAAAAGTTTGAAATTTTAAGTCTTGTGACTAATACCATGATGTTAAGTTGTTCGATAAGGTTTTGAATCATTCACATACTTCAACTTTAGTCAGTTTAAAATATAAAATAATGGCTAACCGTTAATACCAATAAGAAAATGACTCACAGTGGACTTAAGTGGACATTTGTGTCTTACCCTAGTCAATCTACTTTTATTCTTTTGACATTAACCGAGTCAACCTAGTAAAAGTTATAAATTATTAAAGATTCTAGCGATATCATCCTAACAAATTATTATTATTATTAAAGACTATTCAATATTATATTTTTGGTATAATATAGAATTCTCAGCACATAGTATTCCAATAAATTTCCTTTTATTATTTCTTGATCTACCAGCTAAATGTTAGCAGTTCACGAATCGACTTATGAATTAATGTTCATTCTTTTCAATGCATATTGTCAACCGTCACAATGTCTCTGATTGTGCTGTTTCCTAACTTGTACAATGAAAGGTTGTGAACATTTCACCTGAATAGGTTGTGCAATTAATTAATATAATGATCTGATGAAGCATACAAAAGACAGATAACTTGTTGATATATCTAGATGGTAGGAACAGGTATCCCGGGTATTCGAGGAGACCGTCACAAAGCTATCTTATTTCAGAATGAATGATATGTAAATAGTACCAGTTCAATTGATTAAAAGATGTTTATCAAAATTGTTTATTATTTAATGAAAACTGTTTAATTACTTAACTGTTCATTATCCACTATGACGTATAAAGATAAATTTCGTGGGATTTATCTACAACTTATAAAGAAATAAAAATTGAAACTGTTCATTTTATACCATTGAAATAAGCTTCAATGTATCATTTATTTCTGATAATAGTTTTGTTAAATATGGCTATTATATCCATAAATCAACAAGATTATGCAGAAATTTCAAGGTTAAATTGTATTTTTACTAATTGAATTCATCAGTCCACTCAAACTAGACCACCATTGAAAACCTAAAACCACTAAACGACCATTTTGTCCTAGTATGAGACTCTTCAGTAGTACATACCCACGATCCCGTATGTGGGCGCCGAATCCAGGACTTTTGGCTTTGCTTATGAACGATTAACCTCTAGGCAACTTAATTGTCATCCATCAGTGTTAATATCTAACTTCAATCGATCCATAATTGACTCGTGAACTCAACTATTACAATACTACTACTAATACTATTGCTACTACTAGTACCACTACTACTATCATTACTACTACTGCCAATACTACCATTACGACTAACACTACTATTACTACTACCACTACGACCACTACCATTACTACTACTGCTACTACTGCTGCTGCTGCTACTACTACAATACTGCTCCACAAATCCCCATTCTCATAAAATATATTTATTTAGTTAACTTATCACATGCTATCCATAAAAAAAGTGTTTAACTTCAAAAATGAAAATTTTTCGTTGTTTGTTTGTTTGTTAGTTTTTTTTCTCATAAATTTAAAACTACCAAAACAACCACTCCAAACAATAAGTCAAATGAAACATTATGAAATAATAAAAAAATGTTTTTTTTGTTTTTCTTTTTTCTATCCCAGAGACAATAAGAACTTAATTGAGTATAAAATTTAAATTTTGTGTTTTTTTTTTGTTTTTTGTTTTCACTTATCAAACACCATTATAATTTATTATCATTCTCATACTCATGAGAAACAATATTCATATGAACATGTGTGATAAAAGAAACACAATTCAGTTATAGGGAATATAAAACTTTAAACAAAGAAAAAAAAGAAAAAAAAGAAGAAAAAAATTCATTCATTTTTATGTATCTACTATCTATAGAATATTGTATGTGTTATATATACCTTTTATCTATTTAAGTAGTGTTATAATAAAATAAGCATATAATAAATAAATAGTGTAATTTTAATGGTTATTTTTTGTTATTAAAAGGGAGTTTTGTGGAGATTTTAGGAGTTTTAATAGTTGAATTCATGAATCAGTTGAAACTAGATTACCATGGAGAATCTGGAAAGATTCGATGGCCATTTCATTCTAGTGTGGGACTCATCAGTAGTGAACATCTATGATTTCGCCTCACAAAATTCAAACCTATGAAGTTAGAAATTAACACTGTTGGATACCGGCCGGCTTAGTGGTTTAGAGGTTAAGCATTCACGCGCGAGACTAATAAGTTCTAGGTTCGAATATCACGGAATGGGATAGTGGATGCGCATTGCTGAGCAGTCCAGGTTATATATATATATATATATATATATATATATATATATATCTTAAATATTGTTTATTTAACACTTAACTAGATACCTTTCGGTTAGTAATAGTCAGATTCCACGTTATATTCATCAACATGTTTGCATCGATCATATGAATATATAAAATAATATCGTATAATATATGTATATAGTTGTATTGTGAATTTAGTATTTGGTGAGACTATAATTTATGGACGATTCTTGAGCAACACTAAAGTGACATTGAGAATATTCACATACTAACTAGAATTAAATGAGGGTTATAAGGCAGTGTGAAGAATAAGGATTATGATTTATAGTTAAAGTTAGGAATTAGATTTATGGTTTTCATCACGAACTGACATCAGCTAGAATGCCAAAACTTTATTTAGACAAATGGGTGAATGAATTTCACGATGAAATCCGAGTCCTGATATCCTAAATCCGATTGGTTCGTCCATAAATTATAGTCTTGCCTAATATTCTAATACCAACCGTGTACCGGTTAGCCGAAGAACTTAATATGAAATTTAATAAGAATTAATATTTCATTCTGACCGATAACTTTATAAGCGATAATCAACAGATACAGACAGAATGACTAAATACTATCTTACTGGTAATGAAATCGAAAGGTCATATTTCTTCTCCATTCAGGTGCCGATAATGGGAACGGCTGCTGAAACTATCATTCATGACACTGTTTTCCACTGTTTCCTCAACAAGCGACGTTTCGCAATATTGAGTACATACCATATATATAGTAATCAGAATGGGGGTTTGTGAAGATTATAGTAATTTAATAGTTGAATTCATGAGTCGTTTTAAGCTAGACCATCATTAGAAACCTGAAAGCACTGGACGACCGTTTCGTCCTAGTATGGGATTTTTCAGCAGTGCGCATCCACAATCCGCATGCGGGATTTAAGTTAGATATTAATACAGTGGGAGCCGGCTCAGTAGTCTACAGGCTAAGCGATCGTGAGCGATGCCGAAGGTCCTGGATTAGAATTCGTGTGCAGGATCGTGGATGCACACTGCTCACAAATCCCATACGAAGACGAAACAGCCGTCGTGTGCTTCTAGGTTTCCAACGGTGGTCTAGGGTAGATCGACTCATGAATTTAGCTATTGAAGCACATATATCCATAATGTTTTTTAGTACGTGCGACAATGAGATTTTACTGAATTTTACGTAAATGATCTTTCGTATTAAAATATAATCAAAATTATGATAATGGTACAAAAACTCTGAATATCGTGGTCGAGCCCAGAAGTCTCTTCTCCAAAATCTAGTTTAAAACCTTATGACAATTTAGCTGGTAATCAACGGTCTACACACTCGTATTTTCATTCAATTTGCAACATTGTGAGATCATCTCAGTGGGGGAAAAAGTCCTCATATGAGATACTATTGAATTTAACTGGTCACAGTTTGTCACTAGAGGTTGAGGAATTACCTCTTGAAATTAGTCACCACTGTATACATGATTAATGATGAAATAAAACATTTCAAACAATTACTGTACGTTATAGTTTACATTTACTAAGAGGTCACATTTTAGGACGAAATAGCTGTCTAGAATAATTCTTCGTTTTTGAAAGATCTAACTTCGATTCATTCATGATGCTGACTACAAAGTTCATCAATCTCCACAAACTATTTACCCCTTGATTGGTTGAAAGTATTCAGTAGGTAGTTTCAGATTTAAGTTATGTAATAATAAAGGATAACAATATTAAATCAAATACTGCATGCATAATTAGAACACTTCATTATTTATAATAAGCTTTGTGAAGTTACTATTTAGCTTATCTTTGAAAAATGTTACTAGTTTTATTGACTTACATATTACTATAAAATAAAGTGTGGTTAACATTAGATAACATTAAGTTGTCAGCTTGAAAATTTGCCTGTTTCCTTTCTTAACTACTCTTCAAACAAGATATAAGAAACATTCCGTTTAACAGCCTAATGATAGAGTTATGCAGATTGTTGAGTTTAGATTGATATTATGAATGGATCAATGTTAGATCATCACTGAAAACCTGAAAGCATTGAAAAAGCCATTTCGTTCTGTACTAGGAAGAAATGACCGTCCAGTGCTTCTAGGTTTTCAGTAATGGTCTAACATTGATCCACTCACGATATCAATCCAATCTAATAATAATAATAATCGTAATTTACTTTGTTCCCCTTTATTTTCAAGTTCGCAATTTATTCAATTTGTTCAACTTGATTAAATGTGAAGTGTTTTTACGTTTGTCACTTTTTTCTTTCAATTATCTCTATTTTTCTCCTAGACAATACCTAGCGATGAGTTGGAATTGATGAAAAAGAATTTATGGAGGCATTCGATGAAAATTTTGACAATCGAATTGAGCTTACTGAAGTACGTTTAGGTAGTAATCATAATAGTTGTAGTAGTAGTAGTAGTGGTAGTAGTAGTAGTAGTAGTAGTAGTAGTAGTAGTAGTGGACATTGTATTCTATGTCAGAAATCATCTCAGATTATGTTCTTCTTCTCACAGTTAGTTGTAATTCATTAAACATTTGTTTTTTATCTGTCCACTTAAGTATGTTTTTATGAGAATAAAAATAGGAAGATGATACAATGATGACAGTCAATTGATTATAACGTTCTAGGTAAATAGACTATGAATTATTCATAAGCGAATCTAATAAATGTATGGATAGATGCACCCATTCGAATGTGTGAACGTTTTCGAGCAGAACATATATATATATATATATATATATATATATATATATATATATATATATATAACAAATTCTCAAAAGAAAGATCAACACTTACTATCATTATTATTTTAGATAAGCTCATTACACAGAGAAAAGTATTTTAGACGATCGACTTAACATTTGGAAGCCGTATTTAGGTGATATGACAAAGCGATGAATATCAGGGACAAATATAGAAAACAAAGCGGGAAAAATAAGCGTAGACATGATAATTTTTTAAATTATTGTAATATTTATTACTAGTAATATTATTAATAGTATTAGTATTGATATGATAATCTAAAATGATGTCAGTCAGTCAGTAATAACGTAGACCTTCGTACTTACGTACATCAGTTCGAGTTGCTATACCACATTAGCACAGAGATGCAGTTGTCAATTCAAATCCCATAATGGTAGGGGTGGTAAGAGCATAAGCAGTAATCGGAAACATTAGGGTTTGAAGATGTTATGCAAGTAGTATAATCCAGCGAAATGAATATGGAAAGAGAAAAATTGAGACAAGGAGAATTCAGAAGATTAGAATTCGGGAGAACACAAAGAGTGGAGCCATTGGAATTGAATTTGAGCCATGTCATTCAACGTTTCTAACCATCGGTTGCTATCGTGTCGTGGATCCCAACCAGTTAGTCTACACTTACCAACACAACTCAGTCCACTTGTCAGGGACTTCATGGACTTGTACCACGTTTTGGTCTGGCCACCTGTAGCTTCCTTCCAACCTACTCCTACACCATAAAACATCACACGTCGTGGCAGTCGTTGGTTGGGAATACGTAACACGTGTCCCAGCCATCTCAACTGATCAAGTTTCACTACTTCATCAATTGATTTGCCATCTTTACATAGTACCCGTTTCCTAACAACTGCATTACTTACTCGATGGTCCCACGATATACGAGCAATATTTCGAAGACACCTATGATCGAATACTAGTAACCTACGAATATCCTCTACTCTTACTGGCCATGTTTCACTGCCATGTGGTAGGACGGAACGAACTGCTGCGCAGTAAACCCGTCCTTTGGTTGATAGAATGATATCTCGCCTACGCCATAAATGACGCAATTTGGAAAATCCAGTCGAGCGTTCTGAATCCGTGCTGAGATTTCGTCACACACCAGCCCACAAGGGTTGATGAGAATTCCAAGATAAGTGAAGAGGTCGACATGCTCAATTACTTTACTCTCTATTATTAGTTCAGGTGTCGATGCGACCCAATCCCGAAGCAACATTTTGCATCTTGAGAATGGGTAGACTCTCATCCCGAACGTGCTTGCATTGTTGCTTATAATAGCCAGAAGACTCTGGATTTTGTCAGCATCTTCACCAAACTGAACTATGTCATCAGCATATTCTAAGTCAGAAAGTGAATCTTCCGTAGAAGTTCGACCCTTGGAAATTTAACTGAGGAAAGTGTCATCTCTAAAAGCACGTCAACGACAAAATTAAAAAAGAATAGAGAGGGTGCACAGCAATTATCTAAAATGATGAATCCAAGTGAGGCCTCTGATAAATTATTCAAATGACCCTTTGCGTTATCAGCTGTAAATCTAAACACAAGGATTGTAACTTAACGTCAACAAGACATGTAACACTTTACACGTGTAGACTCTAACCCATTATATGGTCGTAATCAATAACATCTCATTCACTTCTCATTATGGATAGAGTTTGATCAGAAGAATAATTGGTAAATTACATGTTTCCATGATGACTGGTTGAATACAATCAGATTGGTTTGATCAACAGTGTTTGGTGTCTATCTCATCATTGATCAGTCTATGTTTACCAAGATAATATCGCTCGATAGTATACAATGACGACTGAACTGCATTATGAATAAATGCGTTCATTTTGTTGCATACTGGTCACTTGTTCCCATATTCACAATTACAATTTATATATACATTAAGATGGAACAGTTTTTTTCTAATGTTTAGTGATTCGCTATGTGAAATCAGTTGGGGATGAAGTATTCAGTATAGAGTTTTGTGAAAATTGCATAAATTGTCATTGTTTACATCACTAACCTATGTTAACTAGACCATCGTTCGAAATCAGATATAACTCTATCTCCATTTCGTTGTCGTATAGGATTTCTGGTTATTGCAAATGCACGACTGCTTCATGGAGGATAGAACCCGTAAAGTTTAGTCCTGTGTGTAAGCGCTTAACCTATAGACCACTGAGCCTTGATTTAATAGTGTATAAATCTTAATGCAATCAAACCACGATATAACGCAACCATCTCTCATTGCCTGTGGTAGATAACTAACTGTCTTACAACTATCCTGATTGAACTATGGAATAATTGATTAAACTTAAGTAACTAATTACAATCACCTCATTTTCCAACAAAATTGAAAATAATATCAATCTAATTTCAACAATAAATAAACAAAGTTGTTATGCCCCGATAAGCATAGTGAATGGTAACTTTTAGGATACATAACGCAGAGGCTGAGATTGGTGTTCTGGACTTAAATGGCTTGGCTATGCAGAAAGCAGGACCAATAAGAACTCTAGACTGCTCGCACGGGTTTTACACGTCATATGTCCGATCGATAATTCACTGCGGTATCGTTACGTTATACAATAAACAGGACACACAGGTCACAATTTCTAACAAAAGTCAATAATGATTGTTTATGGAATATTGTTCCTTCTGTACTATTTACTGATAGTAACAATTAAATGAATAAACAGATAATTATGATTGAACACTTTCTTATAATAATCTGTTACCATTTCTTTTTCTGTCCTCTATAATGTAGATGGCTAAAATTTTACCAACTGAAGAAAATTTTATTCTGTTGTTTCATCGGGATAATCCATTGGATTCAAGTGTTGAATTTATGAGAGTAAGTGCTACATAATTGATAAATTTCTTACTTTCTTCCTATTTGTCATGATTAGAAAAACAAGTGTCAATTAAATATCATAAGATGAATTGTTGGTTTTATTTATAGTTTTAAGTAACCATGAACTGTTGCTGTGTAATTAATAAAAGTTAAATGAAGAGATCTATGTATGATAGTGATGATGTTTTGTGATTAAAAATTATTTTATTGGATTGACAAAATACTACTTACACTTTATCTTTTAGTAATAGAGGCAACATTGTTATATAGAATATGAGATATTAAATGGTTGAAGGCAGTGGACAGAAAAACCTAGTTTTAGGTTTGGTGTTAGTTGAGATAGATTTGACAAGCATACCTATTATATGAAGAAACTAATTTTCCCTCGTGAATTCAAACCCTCATCAACCGGTAAATGAACATCTATATTTTTAGAAAAAATTAGTTGTTCCATCATTAAACATTGAATTCTGGCTTTTACAGTGATGTTAAATATGTAAGTATAACTATTAGTTATGGACAAACCACTATGTTGAACAAAATGGTCACGCACTTCACTTATGGAAACACCAACACAAACTATCAATGAAATGATACAATGTAAACAATTAAAGAAATGAATTCAAATGGGAAAATACGAAACTACAGATCGATGAAATTTCTGTCATATCAGTTTCATCAAACATAAATAACCAATATTATATAATACTTGAGTAAATTTTGAAACAACTTACTGTCTAACCGTTAACGTCACTCTTTTTCATGTTTGGTAGTGGAAAAAAAACGATATATTTTTCATTCAACACATGATCGAAATCATTTATTTCATTTTCAGCAATTTGAAAAGTATCAATTTTAATTTGAGATCATGAGGCTGAAGGTCTTGGGTTCAAGTCCCGCATGAAGGATTGTGGTGTGCACTACTGAGAAGTCTCATACTGAGACGAAACAGTCGCCTAGTGTTTTCAGGTTTTGAATTGTGGTCTGAGATTGATCGGTCCGTAATCTCAACTGAATTATGAAAAGTACCAAATTTTATTTAATTCTATCTAAAGGTTTTTTAAAAAAAACACAACTTACTTGAGCTACATTTCAGACTATTATCTTTAAGATATTTTTACGAACTAAAAATACATGACTACAAAGTAGCACAGGACAATAATTGCTTATAAGCTGAAATGATGATGGCTAATAGTGGAATCCAGTGTGATGCGCGTTTCATCCTATTTGAGACTCGCCAGTTAGATGCACCTGCATCTCAGAATTGATGACCACTCTGGAATTTGAACCCACAGAATAATTTGATATCCGACTTGTTTTAGTTAATAAATAAATACATTATGTATATTATTTGAGCGGCTACATCAGATGCTTAAAAAATTCAAGGCATAAATTAATTAATAATAACAATAATAGTCACAATAAGATGTGGGATGTCTAGTGGAAAAAGGTTAGGAAAATCACAAAGAACAGAATGAGAACAGAGTGTGATTAATATGGAAATGAATAACTAACAAAGTCTAAGAGAATTGATAGATATTTTGCAAATGAAATATTTACTCTATGGTTCTCAAATCTAACCATGATATTCTGTAATGTTATTATTAAAGTACATTTGGTTGTTACCGACTTTGTTTTCATTCATCACAACAGTTATAATATAAGTTAATTGACATTTCCTATTCATACATTTATTTCTTTAGAATGACAACAAATAAAATGATACAAGTAGAGACTTTTAATGGAATAAATGATGAGAAGTATTATCTGATATATGTATATGTATATATACATATTGACATTATTGTAACTAAATTCAACTTAACAATACACTAAATTAATCAAAATGAAACAGTCATAGGTGTTATTTTGACATGACTTATTCTAATGCAAAACCAAAACAAAATATCTTGCCTAGTTGACAAGGAAGAATTATTGTTCATTCTTGTTAGCTTCAATCCCCTTTAGATATTTGTCTATATTTATTGATTACACTGGAGGTTGTTTTTTCAATATTCCTGTTAAATTCTATTGACATTAAGTGAAAATTTTATAGTTTAGATGTTTAGTCATTGAAAAAAAACCTGTGGGAAATGACAATTAAGAACAGGGTAATATCCTATGATTACAAGAAACAAAACTAGTATGAATGAAAACTACCTGTTTGTTATAATTGATATTTCATTTATTATGTACATAATAATAATAATAATAATAATAATAATAGTAATTATAATCATATGCTCATTAGTGACTAATTTCAAGATGGATTTCGTGGAGTTCTAATGAGCAACAGTGACCAGTGGAGTCAAAACCGCGTAGGGTATGAGACAGCTATTCACCGAAGACAATGAATGAAGGAATGAGCATGATCATGGATTGATTGAAGTTAGACATTAACACTGATGGATATCGTCTCAATATTCTAGAGGTTCAGCGTCTATGAGCGAAACTGATGGTTGTGGATTAGAGTCCCACGTTTTGAATCGGGGATGTGCAGTGCTGGTGAGTCTCATACTAGGACGAAACGGTCGTCTGTTGCTTCCAGGTTTTCAATGGTGGTCTAGCTTACATGAACCCACAAATAAAACTAATAAAATTACTACAATCTCCACAAATCCCTATTCTGATAATAAATAAACATATTAATTAGTATCTACTTTGCAACTTCTATCAATCATACTTCCATATAGTTATAATATAACACTGTCTTCTGATAAATAACACTTAGGGAAATTGTATACTGTCATGAGTTCATCCTATCAAACTTATTATGTAAAGACCCACCAACTTGAATTATATTTAAATTGAAAATCTCTGAAGTTATTGTTTATTACATAATGATATCAATTTGGATACTATTTAAAAGCGGAGAGGTAGACATAAAAGAGAAAAATAGTGCTTATAATTTCACTTAAGACCGTTATTTATTTATTTGTTTATCTATATCAGGAGGGTTTTTTGTGGATATTATAGTAATTACAATCGTTGAGATCAAGAGTCAATTCAAGCTGGATCATCACGAAAAAGCTGGAAGCGATGAAATTCAACCGTGTCTGTTGTGAGATAGTAACTCACTGAAGACAATAGCGGATGTTTAAAGCAATTGATCTCTTTGATAAATTTCGATAATGTAATAAGAAGTCTTCTTATTACATTATCGAAATAGCGGATGTGTCACTCAATTTCATGAAATAGTTGAAGTTAGACATTAACACCATTGGATGCTGGCCTAGAGATTAAGTGTTCGCGTGCGAGGTCGATAGGTCCTGGATTCGAATCTCACGAGGTGGCATCGTGGATTCACACTACTGAGGAGTCCCACAACAGAACGAAAGGGCCGTCCGGTGCTTCAAAGTTTTCCATGGTAGTCTAGCTTCAATGGACTCATAATCTCAACCATTGAAATTATTTACTGATTTAAACACATAAACATTGGTACAAAGAGGCACCAAATAGATATGAACCACATAAATCATTCGATTTATTTGAGGGTTGAGATACTGAATCAACAAAATAACTTTGAAACCATTCAATCAGTGTATGGTCTAGTATAATAACTATCTAGAATAATCAATGATTAACAATCATATTCTTTTTCAAATTCCACCTATGGGATCATGGATACTTACAACTGGGGAATCCTAAACTAGAACAAAACAGCCGTCTAATACTTTCAAACTATCAATGATGATCTAACATTTATCGATTTTTATGCACTGCTGAGGAGTACCACAATAAGACGAAACAGTCATTCAGTGCTTCCATGTTTTTTCATGATAATTTAGCTTTAATTGATTCATGATCTCAACTATTGAAAATATAATTAAAGGTCTATTAAAGTTAACACGTTTATCTATCACATTTTGTAAGTAAATTTATAGTGAACATATAAACAAACAAATAAACAAAATTAAATTATTCTTAATTCCTTAACCTTGTATAAATTAATCAAATGAATAATGATTATTATTTGTGAATATGAAACTAGGACAAAATGGTTATTCAATGTTTCTAAGTTTTAGTTTTTTATTTCATTTCAAGTATATCAATATTCTTTCTTTTTATTGTTATTAATTCAATTGATTTTTTCACAGTAATGAAATAGTAAAATCAGAAATATAAACAAAGATAGACAGTGGTTAGCAGTGAAAATCTAGTTTGATGAGAGTTTTGTTCTATTTGAAACTCATCAACTGGATAAACTTACATCTCAGAGCTGATGTTCACTGTAGAACTGTAAGACTCAGTAGCTGAGTAAATAACGTGATGGTATTTGAAGAGAATAGTACTGGATTCGAGTTTCTGAGTGAATATCAATTTTAAGATGAACGTACATCCAACTAGTGAGTCTCGAATAGGACGAGACAGGCGTCCTGGATTACACTGTTAGCTTAAAATGCTTGTGAATTAAGGTAATATCGAGACAATACGCACAGTATGCACATATACCAATAAGAGATTGATTAATTGTAGTCCTAAACAACAATAGGTAGATACAACCAAGCATTACTCAGTGAATTATTACGTATTGTTTATGTTATAACTTGTGCTCTGTGTCCTATTAATGTATAACGTGATGATACCGCCAATTAGAGAACAGTGAATTATCGATCGGGTCAATGACATATAATATCCCTACGAGCAGTCTAGAGTCCTTATAGTTTCTGTTTCCTACCTAGTCCTGCCTGTTACGTCCAGAATACAAATCTCAGCCTAGGAGATGCGAATCATTTGTTTCAAACATACTCGGTTTATATACCAACCAGACAAACCACATCGTACTGTAAAATAGGAAACAACATTTGTACAATATTTAGCCAAATGTGTCTGTGAATTTGGAAGACTGTAATTAATATACTGGGAATAACTTAATAATGTTAAATCGTATAATAACACTTCATAGGTCACAATAAAGCTCATAATAAGATAGACACTAATATGGATAGTTTAGTTACTTAACAATTATACAATAAATATATACGTACAGTATTGATCCATAAATGGATTCCAACAGTTACCATTCATTATTCTCATCTAAATATAACATTTTACGTCATTAATCTATGTTAACTAGACCACCGTTTAAAACACGATATGATTATATCTTCATTTCGTTGTAGTACTGAATTCCTGGTTATTTCAGATGCACAACTCTTGCATGAAGGATGAAACCCATAAAGTTTAATCCCGTGTATGACCACCTAACCTGTATATCACCAAGCCTTGTTCAAATGATGCACATGTTTAAATGCAAGCGCAACCATTTCTTGTTCATAGGATCACTTTATGCAAAAAATGCTAACGGTATAGTTGACTACATGTGATAATCTGTCTATAAAAGAAAATCATAAATCAATAATCCTATTTTATACAAATCCTATATTTTCAGAATGGGTTTTGTGGAGATTTTAGAAACTTCACAGGTTGAAATCATGAGTCAATTGAAGTTAGACATTAACACCGTTGGATGCCGGCTCAGAGGTTTAATGGTTAAGTGCTCTCGCGCAAAACCATTAGGCCCTGGGTTCGAATCCCTCGGGGCGCGGGGTCGTGGATGCGCACTGCTGAGGAGTCCCGTACTGGGACGAAACGGCCGTCCAGTGCTCCCAGGCTTTCCATGGTGGTCTAGCTTCAAATGACTCATGATTTCAACCTGTGAAATCCTATATTTATTTCTCTATAAATCATATCATAAAGGATCATAGTTTCATTTAATCACTGTTTAGATATTAAAAACGATTCTGTTTTTTTCCAATAATAATGAATAGTTAGCAACTTATCACATAACTAAAATGATCAAAACTACAATTTATTTTAAAAGTTTACAATATTGTTAACATCCCAATCTCCCCCCCCCCAATTTTTTTTTCGGGGATGGGGGAGGAAAACCCGAAATTTCCCCCAAAATTGAGAGATTGGGATTATGATGAAAATCTATACATCATTTTAAATTTACATATTCATAGTCATATTGTTTATCCATATAGTTACAATAATGTTATTCTCTTCTCTTTTGTTTTTCTTGAATTCACTAAATCAACTGTGAGCAGTTTTGTGATCTCTTAACAATCTTTAAATATAAAAAAGAGATCAAATTAAAAAATTGGTTCACATAGTTTTCTTTTTTAAGATAAAATAGTTTTATAGGGTTTGTAGGAAAAAAAACTTAACCAATAATATATCCTGTATGGGAAACTGAAGGCATTTTACTATGTGGTACATTAGAAATCATGAAATAGACTGTTTCCAGACTAAAGAAGATTAGTAAAGATTTGAATAGTCTGATGGAAACTTATTCAACATTCTAATTGTTTGTTGTGCGGTTCAAAGTGTATAGAATTGATTGGTCTATTTTAAATTACTGATAATCATTATTGACAACTGTTATGCAGGATTTCCACTGATCACCATTAACTACCTGTCTTTAAATAACTTGTCTAACGAGGTCGATTTATTCATGCTAATGATCACAGCACACATTTATCACTTTGATAGGCAATAAAAGCTGGATAACATAATACTGGTTATTTGTACCGAAGGGATTAAAATGTCTCCGTTTTTAAGAATTGATGGTAAATGAGATCATAGATCACGACAAAATACATGGATAATTATCAGAATGGGTTTTGTGGAGATTTTTAGAAATTTCACTTGTTGAAATCATTAGTCATTTGAAGCTAGACCACCATGGAAAACCTGGAAGCAATAACACCGTTGGATGCCGGCTCAGTGGTCTAGTTGGATAAGCGCCTGGCGCGAGACTGATAGATCCTGGGTTCGAATCCCGCGGGGCGCGGGATCGTGGATGCGCACTGCTGAGGAGTCTCGTGCTAGGAAGAAACGGCCTTTTAGTGCTTCCAGGCTTTCCATGGTGGTCTAGCTTCAATTGACTCATGATTTCAACAAGTGACATGAATAATTATTTGATTTTTTGATTTTGTACAACTCTCATGTAAACCAAATTTTGTCATGAGATCAGTCAGAGCATTGATTAAATGTAAAGAATGCTAATTCTATGTCTTATACCTAACTTGAAACATCTCATTGACAAAATTCAATACAACAATACAGGATCAAATTAATGTAAAGAGTGAAACAATGAGATACAGTTGGATTGAATAATTCTCACAAAATATTTTAAACTGAATAAACAGAAAATCTGGAGAATACCAACTGACTACAACAAAAGTACCACACTTAACATAAAACCATAGTGTTCTAAGCTATCCAGTGTACCTCATTTTTATTTACATATTACGGAGTATATCAAGAAATTACTTATCGACTTGTGAATAAGATTTTTACTGACCCGAGATCTGACTCCAGGTAGATCATTTGCTGCATGTCATCGAAATATATATGTGAGCTACCTTCGTATATAATCGTTGACTTAATTCGCGTTAGTGAATAACAGAATCAAATAAGACAAATACTAGAATGAAGTTCGAATACGTATATTTCATACAGTCATAGATCCAGATAAACGATCAAGGAAACGAAGCAAAGAAAGCGAAAAGGACAATGCGAAAAGATGCGTGATGGAGGAGTGTGAGCCAACTTGATCTAGCCAAGAGTGAATCAATACTTATCGTCGAACAAAACGTTACAGACACATAATGAATAAAGTAAGCAGATAGCATGCAAACGATCATATAAAACACAATCATGATTAATAAGCGAATAAGTGACAGTGTAAAAATGTGAATTGAGAAGAATGAACCTAGCAATTAATTATGATTTTCAACCTGTCATATCCAAGAAGAAACATTTTTGAGTGTAATTATCACATTGTTATGCTTACTACATGTGTTATTCTTTGATTTCTCACATCCTTTTTATAGGTGTGGAAACGTTTTGATAAAGATAGAAGTGGATATATTGAAGCTGATGAATTGAAAGTAAGTGATCAATATGTTTTAATAGTTGAATTCATGAGTCGATCTAAGATAGACCACCAATGAAAACGTGGCAGCACTGGATGGCTGTTTCATCCTAGCAAGTGACACCTCAGCAATGCGCGTTCATGACTCTGCACAAAGGATTAAAACCTAGGACTTTCGGTCTCGCCAGTAAACGCTTAACCTCTAGCTTACTTAGCCGGCATCCATAAATCCAATATAGTAACCTATTATTCATTTAATTAATTATTAAAGATATAAATTATTTTCAAAATACTTACTTGGTCAATTTTCAATCATTGCAACTAAATATCCTGAATGAATTCATTGAATGGTTACTTGATTCTTTTCATTTGTTTTAGGATACATAAAGTGTGTGAACGAACCAAATGTTCAATGAAATATAACACATAATATAGAATTATTATGGTGTAGGAGTAGGTTGTAAGAAAGTTAGTGGCGGTCAGACCAACACGTGGTGCAAATTCATAAAGTCATTGACAAGTGAACTGAGCCGCGTTGGTAGGTGTAGACTAACTGGTTGGGATCCACGACACGATAGCAACCGATGGTTAGAAACGTTGAATGACATGGCTCAAAATCAATTCCAATGGCTCCACTCTTTGTGTTCTCCCGAATTCTAATCTTCTGAATTCTTCATGTCCCTTATTTTTTCTCTTTTCAAATTTATTTCACTGGATTATACTCTTTAAATAACATCTTCAAACCCTAATGTTTCCGATTGCTGCTTATGCTCTTACCACCCCTACCATTATGGGATTTGAATTGACAACTGCATCTCTGTGCTAATGTGGTATAGCAACTCGAACTGATGTACGTAAGTACGAAGGTCTACGTTATTACTGACTGACTGACTTTAGATAATTCTATTGAAGTTATATTCCTTATCTATGTAACAATTGTATGTAACTTGTGGAAAATTATCTGAAGTGAAGAATTCTAGTTCTCTTCTATATGACAATAGCATCGAAAATAACACACTTCATATGTGCAAACAGATGTATGAAATGATCTTATTCAAGATGTATGTGATTTAGTAAGGATTTTAAAGTTTCAAGTACTATATCATGTGTTACATGTCTAATCACACGATCATTTTTTGTGATATCTAAATCAATTACATAGTTTACATCTAGTTTATATTTATAAGTCATTATGTCTTCAACAACTTATGTAATCGTTTGTTTTCTATGTGTTTTCAACATTACGAAGGACCTGTACGGATATTAAATTTTAGTTGATACTGATATTGACTTTGACAGACAAACAACTAGCATGAAAGGCCTAGTTGCCTATTAACTTATATTTTTGTCTTCATAACAATCTTTTGTTACTTCTAATGTCATTCAAAGTAATATATGTTATGTGAATAACTAGAAACTCTATCATTTACTTAGAATTCATAAGAATATAATTTCTTTTTTATAAGCAACTTGACTAGAAAATATTTCATTGCATGCATACAATGGTAGATATCTTTATACATCGTGTTATGAGAGTGCATTAATCTCCATAAAATAAATATAACTTTTTGAGACTAAAATTTATGGACGACCATTGAGCGACATTAAAGTGACCATGAACATGTCTACCTACTTCCTAGTGTTAAATGAGGGTTATAAACCATTGTAAGGAATTAGTATTTTGATTTACAATTGATGGTTACGGTTAGGGTTTTCATTGCGAACTAACATAAGCTGTAATATCAAAACGCTATTTAACCGAATGGTTGAATGAATTCCATGACCAAAATCTATAACCTGTCATCGTAAATCTGATTGGTTCGTCTATAAATTATAGTCTCGCTACCTTGATCTTATACAATGATAAATCAGTAACTGTTCAATTGTAATTGATTTTAAAAATCTTAAAAATTAAACTACTATCAGAAGTGGTTTTGTGAAGATTTTAGTAATTTAAATAGTTAAAATCGTGGATGCGCACTGCTGAGGAGTCCCATATTATGACGAAACGGCCGTCCAGTGCTTCCAGGTTTTCCATAGTGGTCTGCCTCCAATTGACGCTGGGATAAAGAAAGGGGGTTGGGCATGGGGTTGGCTACCCCATCTCGTAGAAAACTAATTCACTAGAAAAACGCTAACCAGGAAAAAAAAATAATTCAAACCATTTTTCAAACCATAACTTAATACAATAGTTATATCTAACAAATTAAAAACATTTATCAATTCCATGGATATAGTTTTAAAAATAATACTATGCTACAGACTAAAACAAGGTAACTGTCACTTATCCGTCAGGTTAATCAACTACAATGTTTTTTTTCTTTTATTTGTAAAGATTGACGTTTCCTAAATGAATTTTTACAAATTTAGATATTGATGTTTTATCCCAGAGTAGGTTAGTGTATCTTCTTCATAAACCTTATTCGACTGATATTGATTTCTGGAGAAAATGAGTTTCATTTACAATTAAATTAGCCTGAAATCATAAATATCTTATTTAGTATAGTGAACGTGAATAGATTAATATTTTCATTATTATTTAAGAATCAAAATAACCATAAATAAAGGTGGATGGTGGTTAGCAATGGAATCCAGGGTTTCGTCCTGTTTTAGACTCATCACGTGGATGTACCTTTATACCAAAGTTGATGTTCACTCAGGGACTCAAACCTAGTACCGTTCACTTCAAACATCATCGCGTTATCCATTTAACTACTGAGTCCTGATAGCCACTAGCTTGTGCAATGGGATGAATTATAAACTCATTTTGTATTGTTTGTTTGAATCTCCCTAATGATGTTTAGGACTGCAATTGATCAGTCTCTTGTTGGTATATGTGCATCCAGTGAGGATTACCTCGATATTGACTTAAGCCACAGGCTTTATAAGTAATGAGAAGATATAAGCAAACAATACCAAGTGAATTTAAAATAACCATAAATTAAAAAACATCGGGTGATCGTAAGAAAACTATAACACAATTTAGAAAATACTTTTCAACCAGGTGAAAATTGACTAAATTATTTTGTTGACTTATTTAGTTCACAAATCTACAAAAATAATGCCCAAATATAAAGGGAAAGAACACTTTTTGAGTTATTATAACTATCAACTTCCATTGTTAGGTTAGTTTATAATAAGAAAGATTGATTTAGCAAAGGATTCTCTTTCCGGCTCCAACATGATTTCCTAGAGTTCTAGTGAGAAGCCTTGACTAGTAAAGTCCAATCCATGTCGGGTAGAGACAGTTATCTATCTGAGACAATGGATGAATGAAATTCATGGATCGATGGAATTTAGACATTAACATCTTTAGATGCAGGCTCAATGGTCTAGAGGCTAAGCGTCCACATACGAGGTCAAGGGCCAGGGATACTCACTGCTGACGAGTCCCGTACTAGGAAAAAACTGCTGTCCAATACTTCCGGGTTTTCAATGGTGGTCTTACATCAATCGATTTATGATGTCCATCAAAAACTTAACAATCTCCACACGATCATACTGATTATAATTCATTTTCAAACTTGTACAATCACAACTATGCATACTTTTTTTTCAAGATGATAATAATTACAATAATAATGATAATGAACTTCCGCCTATTTTTAGCCACACCAGGTTAGTTTCTAACAGGAAAATCTTAATGATTTCTTTGGTTTAGCTTATCCAGTAGAAAGTGGAAATCATTCAACTTGAAAGTATATCCAAATGAAAATTTGGAATTATAGTAGTTGAGTTCATGAGTCGATCTAAGCTAAACCACTGTGGAGAACCTGAAAGCACTGGACAGCCGTTTCGTCCTAGTATAGGACTCTTCAGCAGCAGAGTTCCATACTAGAACGAAACGGCCCCTCAGTGATTCCGCGTTTTCAATAATGGTCCAATACACGAATTCACCTATTGACATTACTACAATCACCACAAATCCCCATTCTGATAATCTGGAGTTGAACAACACACAAATTCGACCTTTCAAGATACACTTCATATTAAAAGTTAAATGTATGACAGAGCCATTCAATCTAATTATTTAATTAAGTATTTTGATGAGTTTTATACTGCTAATCTGACATAGGCTGGATAATAAACAGCATTAGCTCATAAGCAAAGATGGACGATGACTAGCAGCGGAATCCAAGGCGCGCGTTAGCTCATTTTACTAGTAAACACAAAAAAGTTGCATTACACAACTTATTATATCATAAATGAATATTAATTGAAAATAAAAAATAATAACAAAACAGATGTCGACTTCTTTCTAGCTTTTTTTCGATGAAGTTATAGATCTTTCATCCTTCTTCTGAAAGACATCATCAGAAGCTACAAATCTTCTTCAACATCTTACTTCTTCCTAGTTTTAAATGATAAATATTGAACGACTAGTTTGCTACAACACTTTCACAGTTTTCGTCAACAGCATAGTAAGTAATATAAGATTTGAAAATGGTGATCGAAAGCACTTGTTGAGGGTAAAAGATAAAAAGATTATTACAAGATAACTAAACTATAGAAACAAGTGTTTCACTAGAATTTATCAAATTTTCAACCGTATATGTGTTGTAACTTCTGGCCTGTGTCCTATTAGTGCATAACGTGATGATACCGCCAATTACAGAACAGTGAATTATCGATCGGACCAAATGGAGCATAAAACAAGTACAAGCGGTCTAGAATCCTTATAGTTCCTGCTTCCTACCTAGTCCTGCATGTTAAATCCCGAACACAAATCTCAGCCTCTGCAATATGAATCATGTATTTCAAACATACTGGGTTTATATGTAAACCAAACAGATCACATCTCACTACAAAATAGAAAACAACACTTGTACAATATTTAGCCAAATGTGGCTGTGAATTTGGGAGACTGTAACTGATAGACTGGGTATAACTCAAGAATGTTAAATCGTAGAATAACAGTTTATGGGTCAAAATAAAGCTCCTAATACGAGGAACACGAATATGACAAGTTTAGTTACTTAACAACTGTACGATAAAAATACACGCATAGTATTTGTCCATAACTTGGTACCAAAAGTTACCATTCATTATTCTCATTGGGGTTATCACAATATGTTAGATAGTTCGATGCCAGTTTACCATAAAGTTTATCTATGTTATGCGCCGATGAGAATCATAATTCAGTCAGTCATTTGTAATATGTACTAAATAACTTAAATATATAGACACACTGTTGTGAAAAGTACTGATTACAATATTATCATCTTAAAGATATAGAAAATTTCTAAACACATCACTGTACAAAGTTTTATATCGGAAAAGCTTAAAAAACTTTTGATTCTCTAAAGTTAATATTGCTGTTTAAATAAACGTCATATTTACTAACCACTATCATCGTCTTATTATGAATCTATGGTCTGAATATCCAATTGTTCTAATTCTTAATACATTCAAATGAAAAGTATTTCGGTAACATTATGCTACGTGCTATTTATGTCGACATAAGTGGTACATAACCTTAGTCAAGAATAGAATGTCTGGTGGTTGAAGGTTGAATATATCAACGAGGGAAGAACATAAACAGAAAGCAATTGGTATGGTACTACAGAAACAATTAAATCTGAGACAATTGATAAACAATTTCCGAATGAATTATTGGAATCTGGTTTTTCTATTTTACCAAGTAACTCTGTATATTTTGTGCTAGACATCGATTGTCCTCACCTGTGTTCCCCTTCACTACAACATCACTGTGTAGCAAGTATTAGCTAAACTATAGTATCTCCTGACTTGCTTGACTAGCCTGATACAAATACGCAAAATTCATAGTGTTAAATGCCTTCAATTCATTTCTCAATAATAAACCATGAGTGATGTAGGGTAATGTGAATCATGTGAGAACGAATCCTGATGGTATTATTCAGCGTCTGTCGCATTGTTACAGTGCACCAACACACTTTTAAGTAAGAATCTTATTCAATTATACTTCTAACTTACTAGACTTATCCCTATGATATTCCTTCATGTTCCTTGATCAGTTCTGAAATAAAAAGCTGTATAAACAATGCAACGTAAGAAGAATATATAGAGTAGATTAAAAAATATGGTCAGAGATGATGAAAATGCAAGTGATGTATTTTAACGCTTACGATGTAGTGTATTTATGACAATGAGAATGATTCCATAATGAAATTCTTACAATCACTTGAATATAAAATCTATACAATCCAAATTATGTGTTAACTATAATATGCTATTTAACTTGTAACAAATATTGATCTATTTTCTGTAGTCATTTCTTCTACACTTATTGAAAGAAGCAAAACCGGAAACTAATATTGAAGAAGGAAAATTAATTGAGTATACTTCATCCATCGTAAGTTGATTTCTTTTTTTTTCGGGGGAGGGAGGTCCATGTTTTCTGTTAATAATATATCACTATTTGATATTCTATTGGTTATAGTTTTATTCATTTTATATGAAATGAATGTAAAATAAAAGTACAATTATGAAAATATTGTCATACAAATCATATTGTTCTTTATAAAACTGAGAGAATGAAAATTGAATGTTTGACGCTTTAATCAGGTTGGTGGGTATGGAGGGTCCACCTAGGGGAGTTAGAAAACCCTGATTCCAAACCAGTGGTGCACATGGGCCCCAGGGTTAGGGTTAAATCTTCATTCTCTGTACCAACAAACTTCAGGTCACGAGTCGAACGATTAATTTCACGAACATTACGTAATCATCGTAGACGGAGTGAATTAAAAAATTTTGACTATTAGACTAAAACATGCTTTTAAATATCATCAAATGATCTAGAAGTTTGAAAGGATTTTCCAATTACAAAAAATACCAGAGTAATCACATATGAATTAGCTGAAAGAAATTAAAAAAATTCATCATTTAATCAATAAATTTAGGCTTCAATTAGGTCACTGAGATTAATTTAGTTATCCAACATGTTGGTAAACAATTATCGTATTTTAATTCTACACATTTAATGGTAATAAAATTAACCCAAATTAACTTTACATTATTCAGTCGATAAAAAAATTATTGTCTAACCTTAACCAATCCACGAAATCGCGTGAACATCCTCCATTGTACTGAGTTAGATACCTGTCTCCACGCGACACGGATTAGCTCAATTGGTCAAGGTTTCTCACCAGAACTTCGAGAATTCCCTCATGAAGCTAGTCACTAGTGAGCACATGATAATTATCAGTACAGAGTTGTGGAAATTATTAAGTTATTGGTTGAGATCATGAAACGATAGATGTTAGGTCACCATTGAAAACATGGAAGAACTGGACGACCGTTTCGTCCTATTGTGGAACCCCTCAGCAGTGTGCATCCATGGTCCCGTTTGCGGGTTTCAAACCCAGGACCTTCAGTCTCGCGTGTGAACGCCCAACCTACCAGACAACTAAGCCGGAATCCAACGGTGTTAATGTCTAACCTCAACTATTTCACAATGCACACTGATGAGGAGTCCCACAATAGGATGAAACGGCCGTCCAGTGCTTCCAGGTTTTCAACGGTGACCTGACATAGATCGTTTCGTGGCTTCAATTAATTGCTTAATAATCTCCACGACCCTATACTGATAAAAAAATTATAATTCTCACTCACATATCTAACTAATTAAACACACTGAGACATAGAACTTCATTTTTTACAAGTGAACTACTGTAAAGATTTTTGTGTGAAAACATTTACAATTGCCTAAAGTATATTTTGTGATTAATATCACGGACTGATTTCAGCAGAACAGCCATTAGAACCAATGAGTTAGTAGACAGCTGTTTTGACCTAGAATAGGATTACTGGATATTGGCTAAACGGTCTAATTGTCAGGAGCTTGAGTGGAACTTAGGGTCATTTGTTCAATCCTTAGTGGTATAGACATGGATTTACATTACTGAAGTGTTCTATGGAATGACAAAATAGTTGTTTAATGCTTCGTGATTTTCAACGGTTTTTTCAACAACAATTAAATCACGGCGCTAACGATGATATACAACTACCACCCTAAACCACTTACAATAGATAAACATCTTAGAAGAAAAATGAAGTATTCATATTTGTTAGGAATATTTTGTACTTAGGCGTAAAATAACGAAACTTTAAAATGAAGAACCTAATGAACGCTTGTGTTAGGTCACATAGAATTTGAATAAAGATATCTGACGTAATTTGAATAACCTTAGGAATAAACTATTATCTGTTTAACTTGTGTTACTTCGGTGAGACTGTAATTAATGGACGAACATTGAACGACGCTAAAGTTACCTTAAGAAGATCCACCTACTAACTAGGACTAAATGAGGGTTATAAAGCAGTTTGGAGAATAAGGATTTACAGTCGATGGTTAGGGTTACGAATTAGATTTATGGTTTTCATCACGAATTGACATAAGTTAAAATCTCAAAACGCTCTCTAACTAAATGTAAGAAAGAATTTCCCGCCCAAATCTATGACCTACTATCTTAAATCTGATTGGTTCGTTCATAAATTATAGTCTCGCCAAAATCTGTTAATTAATTTGAAAAATTATAAAATCTTACTCTAAAGATATTCATTTAATGATTCTTACTTCTAACAATCAAATAAATCCATTCTGATGATCAGATGTTCATAGATTTAATTCTATGTTAAAGACTGATCAGCCGTCAGTCAGACATCATCACTGTAGAAACTGATAAAGATGTAAGTTATCTTAGACTACTAGTAAATCACATTAACACGACAAGATGAAATTGACGAGACGAATTACTAAAAAAGATCGAAATTAGGTAGTATTAATCATAATGAGAACCAGCGAACATTTGGAATATGGTTTGAAAAAGTAAAGTGAGAATGTATATATGATCATACTATATTTTTGAATGAAAAGTTTTCATTTATTTATTGTATTCTAAAAACGTTTACATTGGAATTCAAGATTTGGTCAAGGTTAATTAATGAATGCTCCTGTGCTATTGTGAACGATTGTGAGTTGAAAAAGTATTCAGAAAAGTGCATATCGAATTATTTAAAAGAAGAAAACAGGACAGTGAAAAAAACATGAACTAACAATGCACTAATTACAGTATATGCATTTAAAAGTCACTTTGTATTGTTTATTTGAATCTTCCCATTGATCTTCATGACTGCAATTGATCAGTCTTTTATTTATATATTTAAATCCTATGTGGATTGCCTCGATATTGCCTTGACTTACATGCATTATAAGCTTGAATAGATGATGACTAGTAGTGGAATCCAGTTTGATGCACGTTTCTTCCTAATTGTGACTGGTCAGCTGGATGTATCTGCATCCCAGAGTTGATGTTAACTCAGGGCCTCGAATCCAGTAATTACTCATAAAAGTATTTGATAGCAGTTAATGTTGTGGTAACATAAATTAAAGACTATTTAGTTATCAAAATTACAAGTTAAAACAGTTTGGTTTTAAATATTTATTTGTATAGTATAGCACAGTTTACTAAATGATATTATAGCAACTTACAATCAATTTTTTTATGGTTAATTTTGTCGAACACTTTTATTAACTTATTTGACAGACATTGTTATTCGCATAGTAACAATTCACTCATCTCTTTCATTTATTATCATCATTATTATGTTTGTATAAACGTGTAGGCTTGATCAGATGTGACAGCCTATGCACATATATCTCTCTAAATTAAATGTTGATATTGACTATAAATTCACCTATGTATTCGTTCTCTCGCTCGTACATGTAGTGGCCTCTCTGCTGCAAATTAGTTCGTTATGCTTGTAACTTTATTATAAGTTTTATCCACTAATAAACTGTAGTCACCGCTTCTTATTATTTCCTGAATTCAAACACTGTTTGAGGATTTATATACTACTGATTATCATGGGGATTGATTAACGAAACTAAGCCACTACAATCTAACATGATGATACATGACACATTGTAGAAATTTTTTTAAAATTCTTTAATAAATGCAGAAAAAACTTGTTGGATTTAAATTGTTCTGAAGTTGGTTATTATTCTTTTCATTTCATTTTGTAAAGCTCCAGTTATTCGATCAAAATAAAGATGGTAAACTTCAACTCAGTGAAATGGCAAGGTAAAGTTTGTTTCAAATATATATTAAATATTAATAGGTATGAATACATATATCAATACATATACTTACTGCCTTCTAGTGGTGGGCGTGTTGTTTACGAAACTCAGAGGACAAAAAGCGAACGTCCAATGCTTTAACCGAATTGGTGAACACGGAGAGTACACCTGGGGGAGTTAGAAAACCTTGATTTCAAGCCAGTCGTGCAAATGGGCTCCAGGATCCGAGGGAAACAAATGGCGTATGAACCAATTATTGGTTACCGGCTACCACTGCCTTGTGGATTAGACCTTTGGGTCTAAGGCTCCTTGTGTGCCCCCCCCTAAGGAAACCACGTGCTTTGGTCTGGTCACCAAGGCAGTATAACCGCCCACACACAAATGAAGTGACATGTGTGGCGCATATGTTTTCGGTGCCCCTTGGTACTAATATTTATGTGTTTAAAGAAATAAATAAAATAAATAATAATATCAATTCTGTTTACCAACTTTATTTTCACCTTGTATTTGATATTACTGACAATCCTTGATACAGGGATTCAGTCAAAGTAATATATGAATTGTATTGTTTCAAAATATATAACCTTATCTCGCCTAAGTGGTATCATTCCCTTTGTGGTGTATTAATCCATCCAGTTTATCATTGTATATTCTCTAATCATTACTTTGAAGAAAAAAACATAGTTGTAAGTTGTATCTTGTCAGATAAATATTGCTTATTGAACTTTAGTGATCAACTTACGATTAAGTCACTAGGCTACACAACTCGACTTTGTTATATGATATGTTCCATAGTAGATAGATCAAGGTAATGATTAGAAATCTTTGAAAATCCATCTTGTAATGGCTAACCTACGTGAATGAATGTAGAAGCCTATCCTGCTTATACTTTACAGAATGATATTAAAATCATATTGGACGCTATGGTATGAAAACAGTGAACATTATTATTATTATTATTATTATTATTATTATCATCATCATCATCATCAAAAAAGCGGTTTGTGGAGATTGTAGTAATTTCAATAGTTGAGATCATGAGTCAATTGATGCTAGACCATCATACAAAACCTGGAAGCACTGGAAGGCCGTTTCGTCCCATTGTTGCACTCCTCAGTTGAAGTTAGACATTAACACCGTTAGATGCCGGCCCGGTGGTCTAGTGGTTAAGAGTTCGCGCGCGAGACTGACAGGTCGTGGGTTTGAATCTCGCGGGGCGGGGACCTAGACTCGCACTGCTGAGGAGCCCCAAAATAGGAAGAAACGGTTGTTCAGTCTTTCCAAGTTTTCCGTGGTGGTCTAGCTTCAATTGGCTCATGGTCACAACTACTGAAATTATTATTATTACTATTGAGTAGAGTATGCTTTCCTATTTACTACAGTTAGAAGCAAGATGTTGTTCAAACTGACATTGTTTATTTATAATGTAAATGTTATTTATATCATAATAATCATCATCATCATCATTAACCATTATTTTCAATAATTCCAACTCTTTTTAGACTACTTCCTGTTAAAGAGAATTATTTATGCAGACCAATTTTCAAGGTAATCTTAATCAAACTCTTATGGTTATATTATAATACTGTAGTAATGTACATTTTGAGGTGGATAATGTAAATCAAGATATCTTCTTCTCATTGACACAAGCCAATACAATGCCTAGAAGGAAATGAATATTATAAAGCACAAATGACAAACTTTAATTTTAATCTATTTAAACTGTTGGATCAATATGGAACATTCTTTCTCTCATGTTATGATACAAAGGATTTATAAGTAGTATAACTGTTATAACTTGTGCCCTGTGTCCTATTAATACATAAAGTAATGATACTGCCAATTACAGAACAGTGAATTATCGACCAGACCAGTGACGCATAAAACCCACACGAGCAGTCTAGAGACCTTATCGGTCCTACTTCCTGCCTAGCCCTGCCTGTTAAGTCCAGAATACAAATCTCAGCCTCTGAGATATGAATCACGTATTTCAGACATACTGGGTTTATATATAAACCCAACAGACCACATCGTACCAATAAAATAGGAAACAACATTTGTACAAAACTTAACCAATAGTAGCTGTGAATGTGGGAGATAATAATTGATAGACCAGGCATAACTCAAGAATGGTTAATCGTATATTAATAGTTCATAGGTTAAAATAAAGCTCGTAATAAGAGGAACACGAATATGACAAGTTTAGTTACTTAACAATTATACGATAAAAATATATGTATAATGTTAATCCAGAAATAGATCCCAACAGTTATCATTCATTATTCTCATCAGTATATAACGATAATAAATTAATATTGTATTTTCTTAAGAGGAATAATGAAGTGAATATATTACTTAAGTATTTTTAGTAAATAACAAATAACCTATACATCTATAATCTTTGAAGAATTTCTTGAAATATATATTTCAGCTTAAAATGCTATTATAACTTGTGACCGCCGGTTAGAGAGCAGTGACTTATCGATCGGATCAATGACGCGTAAACCCGTATAAGCAGCCTAGAGTTTTGATTGGTTCTGCTTCCTGTCTAGCCCAGCCATTTAAGTCCAGAACGCCAATCTCAGCCTCTGCAATATGAATCATTATATTTCAAACATACTGAGTTTATATACCAATCAAACAGACCACAACATACCATAAAATAGAAAACAACATTTGTACAAGATTTGACCAAATGTGGCTGTGAATGTGGGAGGCAGTGACTAATAGACAGAGCATAATTCAAGAATGGTAAAACGTATAATAACAGTTTATAAATCAAAATAAACCCTATAATAAGAGGAATATGAATAGTTTCGTTATTTAACAATTATACGGTAAAAACATACGTTTAGTATTGGTCCATAAATGGATCCTAAAGTTACCATTCATCATGCTTATTGGGACATAACAAATACATGTAAAATAATAAACAGAGAATCAAATTAATCATCTTCTAGACCAATTAGAGAGGTAGTAGTTAATGTAAATAACTTTGAAATCAATGAGATTTCAGCAAATTAATAATGAATAAATGAGAAAATATTATATGTCATTATATATGATCTATTATTGTTGAATACAAATTGTTCTTGATTGATTTACCATGTGAATTCTCAAAGTGTACTGCTACTACTATTACTGTAGTGTGAGCTACTTATATCCACATAAGTAGTATATAATGATATCCAGACATAGAATGTATTTCAGTGGAACATCGAGGGGGAAAGAACGAGAACGAAGAGCAGTTAGTATGAAACTGCATGAATAATGAAATCTGAGACTATAGACTGATATTTACAAAGGGAACAGTCAAGTTTGAGACGATGGATTGATATTTAGCAAATTAACTATTTACTGCAGGGTTGTCAGATTTTAGTGAGATGAGCTGTAATTTTGTGCTAAATTACATCCGATTGTCCTCACTCATATTCCTTTTTCACTACACTACTACTACTACTCCACTTTTAAATCGTTTACATAACTTGGTGTCAGAAGAACAGTAATAAAAGCTTCAACTGTTAGTCAACCTATAAATTGCATTTAATTGTATGATACTTAATAGAATCCTAGAAAACAAAATTAGCTTTAAAGCAGGAAGAAGCCAGACACAATGTTTCATTTTATAGTAAAAATTTGTAGTGTCAGTTTCTATGTTAAACCCATATTCTAGCATCTGAACAGGCCAATCTATCCATTCTTCCTGAATCACGTCTTGACCTTGCCACTTGTTCGCTTATTAACCCTAACTGTTTTTACATGAGCGTATGTGTGTGTACACTTCTTATCCTATTCATCATATGTCTTTAACTTATTTTTATTTGGCTATAAATATTGATTAACGCTTGATTAAATCAAGTCGGCTAATCCGCAACATGACATTTCGTTTCGCTTCCTTCTGTTGGTTGTCTGCCTTGATCAATTATTGTACTTATTTTATTCTGTTGTTCACCAACGCGATTTAAGTCAATAATTATATACGAGGATTGACGATATATATAATCTTCTTTTGTCAAACGCATAGTTGAAACAGGTCATAAAATTGATCTTAACTCGACTTTTATGGTGTTGTACAAACTTGTAAAAGGGTGTATACTAAAGTTTATTGTAGCTTTAGCTATACGAAAATTCAAACCCCGTCTGTGTATTCAAAAACAGTTTGTTCTCACCTGAAATCTACTCTGGTAATATTAACTTATTATTATCCAGAGTGATGAGGTTTCAAATTGTTTTCACATTATTTTCTTTATTATCCTTGTCTCTTCTTACCCTCCATTTCTATTCTAACTGACCTCTTATTCTTTATATATAAATGTATTTACAATTGATTGATCACTGGGTGTTGATTAATGTCATGTATGTCAGGTCCTTCTTAGTGCGAATTGAATCCTATCGACCAAGTTACAATATGGTCACTAGTCTAGTTGACTCGACATTACGTGCACTATGTTGAGATAAGATGGCGGTTAACTATCTCCAACCACCATCTTATATATAAATGTTCTTAACAAGTATATGTGTGATCAGATTGCTTGAAATGTATTAAGATAATATTGACATCACATAGTTCTAATAATGTTCGTCTTTTTATTACACTATGGAAATTAATCAAAGGGATTAATTGCTTTATATTTATTTTTGTTATAGAATGCTTCGAAAATTACATCAGCTGATATTGATCGAGCATTTTCACTTTATGATCTTGTAAGTAAAATATTTGTTTTATTCATTTAGTTACACAGTGGTATACGATGAACTCTCCTGATCCATGATAACTATTTTGAATTATAATTTAAAGATATCACAGTGATCGCTATAAATTTCAAGTACTCAGTTCAAAGTAAACGGCCTACATTTCAAGCATTAATCTATTCATGAAATAGAATAATAATTATCCAAGACTGTTGATGACGTTTGTCTTACACTAGACAATGTTGAACTCTGTTTATCACGGCTTTCGACTAGAAATTTAACGCTTCAGTGCTAGTTATTATCAGGTAAGGGTTTGTTGTTAATTTAAATCATCAAATCCATCGTACATTAACTAGTGACCATCATTGTTCTAATTTAAGCTCATAAAAAGTGCAGAATGATACTAATACATTGAAATGGGTTTAGATAATCGTTACTTATGACGACTGACTTACTAATAATGTCATTGGTGATCATTGTTCTATGATTTCTCAACTCATAATCGCTTTGATCATTAACAGATATGAATATTCTAGAGTTTAATCCTTTATGAGATCGTTTCGACGAACAGCTAAGAATGAAATAACTATCCTTAAAATTTTCATAATCAGTGAATCTATCATCTAATTAGATTGTTTTTTAATCTTTTTATGTTTGTTAAAGAAATCTCAACTGATCAATCATTTACTGATGACTTTTAATTTTAAATGATATAACGTTATAAATCAATGTCAAGTGTACAAATAACTGATTATTAAAAAGTGATCCGTGTTATGTTGTTTGTCTAGTAATTTATTACTGGTTGAATTCTGTAGATCAATGTACATTATTACTCTCTAGTCTAAGTGACTCAGAATCGCATGCACTCACTCACTTACGCCAGTTACTTCTCGTGGAGGAGTATGGGCCGCCCACCAGCACTCTCCATCCAACCCTGTTCTGGGCATTCCTTTCCAACTCTTTCCAGTTGTTATTCATCCTTCTCATGTCTGCTTCTATTGCCCGACGTACTGTGTTCTTTGGCCTTCCTCTTTTCCATTTTCCTTTGGGATCCCAAGTTAGGGTTTTCCTCGTGATGCAGTTTGGTGATTTCCATGCATGCACCATAATGAGATAAATAAATGCTTGAACGTAGGAAACATAAGGACCCTAAAGGAAGGTTTCCTGCAATCTAGTACTTGTTAGCTAGATTCACCAATAATCTTGAAAGTCTTGGTGATAGATGAGACTACAATTACCGCAGAGATACCTTCCTAATAAGTACCAACGGACATGATACGTGAATATAAAGCTTTATAACAACTACAATTGAAGAACATATAGAACTCAAAACAACTTTCAAACAATATCAAAGTCAGAATCTTCAATACGAACGTCAAGACAGTTCTACTGCACGGAGATGAAACTTGGAGAACTACTACAACCATCGTCAAGAAGGTTAGAGTGTTTATAAATAGTTGTCTACGCAAGTTACCTAACATTCATTGGCCGGATACCATTAGCAACAGTCTACTGTGAGAGAGAACAAACCAGCTTCTAGCTGAGGAGTTAATTAGAAAAAGACGATGGAAATAGATAAGACATACATTGTGGAAATCATCAAAATGCATCGCAAGACAAGCCCTAACTTGGAATCCTGAAGGGACGCAGAAAAGAGGAAGGCCAAAGAACACAATACGTCGGAAGATAGAAGCAGATATGAAAAGGATAAATAACAACTAGGAAGGGCTGGAAAGGATTGCTAAGGACAGGGTTGAATGGAGAATGCTGGTGGGCGGCCTATGGTCCTCCACGAGGAGTAACAGGCGTAGGTAAGTAAGTAATTGAAAACTAGAAAGTACTGAGCGCTCGTCTCGTCCTAGTATGTTACTCTTCATCAGTACACATCTATGACCATTCATGAACGCTTAACTTGTAAACCAGCGAGTCAGCATTCATTGATGTTTACACTTAACTTATAAAATTGTAGTTAAGTTAAACATAAAAATATTTCTTAATACAAATCTAAACTGATGAGGATAATTCGTTAGGGATGATCATATTTAAATATAATCCAAGCAATATCTTAATAGTTGTAAGTTAGTCTGAATATTATTTGACCCTCGTGTAATAATAAATCATATATGACAACATTTTGTATAGTAAAAGTAAGTTTTATCTTTACCAAGTAAAGCAATTAGCAATATGGGGATTGGTGGAGATTGTAGCATTTTCACAGTTGAATTCACCAATCAATCTAAGCTAGACCACCATTGAAAACCTGTAATCACTGGATAGCCGTTTCGTCCTGATATGGGCTCGGACTCAAAATCTTCTCTCTTGTGTTTTGATGCCTAACCTATAGACCACTGAGTCTGCATCCAATAGTGTTAATGTTTAACTTCAATTGATTCATGATTTCGCACAATCTTTCATCCGTTATGTCTGGTGAATAACTGTCTCTCACCCATCATGGGTTGGACTCTACTTGTCACCATTTCTCACTAGAACTTCAAGAAATCTATTTTGAAATTAGTCACTAGTAACCATATGATCATTATCAGTGTAGAGATTTGTAGAAATTGTAGTATTTTCACAGTTGAATTCAAAAGTCGATTTAAGCAATTAAGATTTTTGAATACTTTTCTTTTTTTGTTTTAACTATTGGAATAAGTGATATTTATCAACATGTATCAATGAATGATTATTATATACGTGATAAAATAAATAATAATTGATATTTCGTTACATTAGGATGCAAATGGTACAATAGAAGATGAAGAACTATCAGGATTCCTTAAAGATTTATTGGAATTAGCTCAAGAAGTAAGTAGACAGAAATAACGATTCTAGATCCTAGATATGTGTATATTATGTATATATACTTCATTTGTTTAGAAAAAAAGAAATGAATCGATATAAAGTAGAGATTTTATGTTGTCACCTTTGAATAGTAGTATTCTATCTTCTTTCTGATGTTTTATATAATCAAATATTTATTAAGGTTCTAATTAACCAAATGAATTCATAGACTTGTTTTCTTGCTTTACTTACTTACGCCTGTTACTCCCAATAGAGCATTGGCCGCCGACCAACATTCTCCAACCCACTCTGTCCTGGGCCTCCCTTTCCAGTTCTATTCAATTGTTGTTCATTCTTCTCATGTCTGTCTCCATGTCTCGGCATAATATGTTCTTTGGTCTTCCTCTCCTCCTTTGACCTTGACGATTCCATGTGAGGGCTTGCCTTGTGATGCAGTTGAATGCTTTCCTCAATGTGTGTGTTCTATACACTTCCAGCGCTTCTTCCTGATTTCTTTCTTCGCTGGGATCTGGTTTGTTCTCTCCCACAGTACGTTGTTGCTAATAGTGTCCGGCCAACGGATCTGAAGTATTTTGCGTAGACAACTGTTAATAAACACCTGTATTTTCTGGATGATGGCTTTCGTAGCTCTCCATGTTTCTGCCCCATACAGTAGAACTCTCTCGACATTTGTATTGAAAATCCTGACCTTGCTGTTGGTTGACAGACAGTTGTTTTGAGTTCCAGATTTTCCTCAGTTGTAAATATGCTGCTCTTGCTTTGCCGATCCGCGCCTTCACATCTGCATCAGATCTACCCTGTTCATCAATGATGCTGCCCAGATATGTAAAGGTTTTTACATCTTCCAAATCGTCTCCGTCAATTGTGATTGGATTGGTGCATGCTGTGTTGTATGGGAGAATCTTGCTTTTCCTTTTGTGTATATTGAGACCTACTGCTGCTGAGACTGCTGCTACACTGGTCGTTTTCTCCTGCATCTGTTGTTGCGTTTGGGATAGAAGAACCAGATCATCTGCGAAGTCTAGATCGTCCAGCTGACCAGACAAAATATGAATATCAAATTATTTCCATATTGTATAGTGTTATACATTACGGGATGATTTTACCTAGACAACCATTGAAAACCAGGAAATTATAGTGAATTATGCTTATTCCAAGAAGAAAAAAACTATTTTTACCCAGATACTATTTTATAACAGTTTTTTAACGGGAAGTAATACATGTATAAACGTGTGTGCAATTTATTTCATTCAGGCACTTGTAAACTTTCATCTTATTAAATTATCGCACACATCAATTGTTGCAGTGGCTTCTGAGAACTAAAATGGAGACTCTAGAGGCCCTAAAAGAGCCGAAGAGTTTCCATCCAATCAGAATATAATCGAGCTTTCTAGAATAACAACGGGCATGATATTATTGGATGGTAGCATAACATGCCTCGTTGCGGATTGATTGGATTATAATGTTGATATAACAAACGCTAATATCTATAAATATTCCATCATTTTCTGTATATTTTGATTGTTACCTAACAAGCACTTCTCCGGTCTTCTTCGATCTTTTGATCTGCGATTGTGGGGATTCTATACGTTCAAGTGCCGTAGTTGTATACCGCACTCTGCGTTAATCAAGTAGCGAACTTTACATCAATAAGATGGTAGATACCATTATTTATATTATTGAGTTATTTTTTATAACTCAAGTTAAGGTTATAGGCTTTTGAAATTCTAATTTCAATCAACGAAATGTGAAAGATATGAAATCTCGAATCTAAAAATCCATCTAATCCAGGTTATGTTAATTTTTAGGAAAGTGATATTTATTACAACACTCCTTTGAAACATTATACCTGAAAGTAAAATACCCTGGATTCCACTGCTAGCCACCATCTATCTCTGCTTAAAATGTTTGTATCCTAAGACAATATCAAGGCAATCCGAACAGCATGCACATATTGCCAATAATACATTAATCGACTGCAGTCCTAATCATTAATTGAGAAGATTCAAACGATCAATAGAAAATGAGTTTAATCTGGGTTTTTCAGTTGTTTTTTGGTGAGACTATAATTTATGGACAACCGTTGAGTGATGCCAGACTGACCTTGAGAGTATCCACCAAATAACCAGGACCAATTGAGAGTTATAAACCAGTGTGAGTAATTCGGAATATGATTTACAGATGATGTTTAAAGCTAGGAGTTAGATTTATGGTTTTCATCACAAACTAATATCAGCTATAATGCCAAAACTCTATTTAGCCAAATAGATAAATGAATTTCGCGCCCAAATCCGAGACCTGTCATTTTATATCTGATTGGTTTGTCCATAATTTATAGTTTCGCGGTTGTTTTTTTTAAATTTTTTAGTCATCCGATTATATCCATAATTATTTGTTTGTTTTTTTGGTTTTATAGGATTATGATGAAGCTGATTTGGAATTTTTTAAAAAAGTCATATTAAATCAATGGGATGTAAATAATGATGGGAAAATTAATCGTGATGAATTAAAAATGATGCTTATGCAACAATCTCGTCTGTTAGGTGATAGATTATGAAAATTTATCTAATTATTTATTCATTATTATTATTCTGCAGTATTTATGTTATCCATTTTTAAACGAAAGAAACAAATTGAGGAGACAATCTCAACGAAATAAAGAAGTGTATTTCTACCTCGATGATGACTCCTCACTCTTTACCTCTCCCTCTACCCCCCTAGTTTTTTTCATTCAATAATGCAGTCATACCTTCCTTCTAATTTAATTTTCCTTCTCTATCAATCGATCAATCATTCTCTATAGTTTATTCATGTTAACTTGCATTTTTATTTCATGAAGCCCATTTTATTGCATAATTGTTTCCGCTTATTTTAAATTTAGAAAAAACACACAAAAAATGTATCTGTATTCATAAACCTTTAATTGATTTTTCATTCATGTCATTATTATCTACAATTGTATTTTATCATTAATGAAATAGTAATAAATAACATGGTGATAATAATAATAATAATAATAATTTGAACCTTAATTCATAGTGAAGTAATGAATTACTATTTATAGTAGTATACTTTAGTTTACTAAAAGAAATCATTTGTCTTTCTGGTTCTGTAAAATTCATTATAACATTGTAGCCAATTCAATAGTTATGTTTATGCAAAGATCGATAGTGGCTAGTAGTGAAATCCAGTTTATTGCGTGTGTTCTCCTATTTAGGACTCGTCAGCTGGATGTACCCGCATTGCAGAGTTGGTGTTCACTCTGAGACTTGAACCAAGTACTGTTCGCTTTAAAAGTCATTGTATCATCAACTTAGTTACTGAGTCCTAATAGCTACCAAATCGTGAAATGAGGTGAAGTTTAAATGCACTTGATATTGTTTTACTTGTATCTTCCCATTGTTATTTAGGATGGAAATTGATCAGTCTCATGTTGGCATATGTAAATCTCATGCGGACTGCCTCGATATAGCCTTAAGTCATAAGCTTTTTAAGCGAAGATGGAGAGTGGCTAGTAGTGGAATCCATTTTGATGTGCGTTTCGTCCTATTTCGCACTGGTGTGCTGTATAAACCTGCATCTCTGAGTTGATGTTGACTCCGGGACTCCAGTGCAGTCCTAGATAATAATGAGAAGATACAAGTAAAACAATACCAGGGAGTTATGTTTACATTTCAAAATACAGAAATTATTCAGCTTCATCATATATATATATATATAGTTTGGTTGCATTTCTTTTTTGTTCTTTTCTAATTAAGTATTCTCGAAGATTCCAAATTGAGATTTACGTTGACCAATATCGAGTAATAATAATAATAATAATAGTAACCTTTTTGTATCCATGTGTGTTTTATTCAAAATAAGCAAAGTTGTGTTAGTGGTGAAACATTAAAATACTTTAGTGATCATTGTGTATCTGACTCTACTTCGTGTTGTAACTTGTGGCCTTCTGCCCTATCATTATACGATGTAATGTTACTGCCAATTAAAGAAAAGTGAATTATCGACCGGACCAATGACGCATAAAACCCACACGAGCAGTCTAGTATCTTTATAGGTCCTTCTTCCCTGCCTAACCCTGCCCGTTGAGTCCAGAATACAAATCTCAGCGATATGAATCATGTATTTCAAACAAACTGGGTTCATATACAAACCAAACAGACCACATCAAACCATAAAAGAGAAAATAACATTTGTGCTAGAACTAGCCAGAAATGGTTGTAAATGTGGGAGACTGTAATTAATAGATTGGATATAACTCAAGAAAGGTGAACTGCATAGTAATAATCTATGGATCAAAATAAAGCTTATAATAAGAGGAATATAGATATACATAACCTAGTTACTCAATAGTTATAGAATAAGAATATATGTGTAGTATTAGTTCATAAATAGATCGAAATGGTTACCATTCAATATACTCGTCGGGATATAACAGTTCGATCATGTGATGATTGTATAAATGATTATTATTGAAATATACATCCGTGCTATCCTCGTTTATAATCATCGACTTAAATCACGTTAGTAAATAATGGAATTAAATAAGTCAAATACGAGAATGAATTTCAAATACGTGTACTTTGTATAATCGTTGATCAGAACAGGCAATCAAAGAAACGGAGCAAGGAATTGAAAAGAAGATAGCGAAGCGATATGTCGTGCAGTAGGCTCGACATAGGGTTAGCCATTACAACACTAAATAACTCCGAGTTTTGGCCATTTAGTTAATATAAAACACTGAAAAGCAAGTCACAGAGATATTAACTATACTGTAATTCAGAGTAGTTTGTATATGATACTATACAAATATGATATTGACTAAAGAGGAGACCTTACTTACTTACTTACTTACTTACTTACTTACTTACTTACTTACTTACTTACTTACTTACTTACTTACTTACTTACTTACTTACTTACTTACTTACTTACTTACTTACTTACTTACTTACTTACTTACTTACTTACTTACTTACTTACTTACTTACTTACTTACTTACTTACTTACTTACTTACTTACTTACTTACTTACTTACTTACTTACTTACTTACTTACTTACTTACTTACTTACTTACTTACTTACTTACTTACTTACTTACTTACTTACTTACGCCTGTTACTCCCAATAGAGCATTGGCCGCCGACCAACATTCTCCAACCCACTCTGTCCTGGGCCTCCCTTTCCAGTTCTATTCAATTGTTGTTCATTCTTCTCATGTCTGTCTCCATGTCTCGGCATAATATGTTCTTTGGTCTTCCTCTCCTCCTTTGACCTTGACGATTCCATGTGAGGGCTTGCCTTGTGATGCAGTTGAATGCTTTCCTCAATGTGTGTGTTCTATACACTTCCAGCGCTTCTTCCTGATTTCTTTCTTCGCTGGGATCTGGTTTGTTCTCTCCCACAGTACGTTGTTGCTAATAGTGTCCGGCCAACGGATCTGAAGTATTTTGCGTAGACAACTGTTAATAAACACCTGTATTTTCTGGATGATGGCTTTTGTAGTTCTCCAGGTTTCTGCCCCATACAGTAGAACTGTCTTGACATTTGTATTGAAAATCCTGACCTTGCTGTTGGTTGACAGTTGCTTTGAGTTCCAGATGTTCCTCAGTTGTAAATATGCTGCTCTTGCTTTGCCGATCCGCGCCTTCACATCTGCATCAGATCCACCCTGTTCATCAATGATGCTGCCCAGATATGTAAAGGTTTTTACATCTTCCAAATCTTCTCCGTCAATTGTGATTGGATTGGTGCATGCTGTGTTGTATCGGAGAATCTTGCTTTTCCCTTTGTGTATATTGAGACCTACTGCTGCTGAGGCTGCTGCTACACTGGTCGTTTTCTCCTGCATCTGTTGTTGCGTTTGGGATAGAAGAACCAGATCATCTGCGAAGTCTAGATCGTCCAACTGCATCTTAGATGTCCATTGTATCCCGTGCTTCCCTTCAGACGTTGACGTCTTCATGATCCAGTCGATCACCAGGAGAAAGAGAAAGGGTGAGAGTAAGCAACCTTGCCTAACACCGGTCTTCACTTCGAACGACTTTGTCAACTGTCCTCCATGCACAATTTTGCAGTGTAATCCATCATATGAACTCTGTATGATATTGACTATCTTCTGAGGCACGCCGTAGTGTCGAAGAAGTTTCCATAGTGTTGTTCTGTCCACGCTATCAAATGCCTTTTCGTAGTCAATGAAGTTGATGTAGAGTGATGAATTCCATTCAATTGATTGTTCCACAATGATCCGTAGAGTTGCGATTTGGTCTGTACACGATCTATCCTTACGGAATCCTGCCTGTTGGTCACGAAGTTGGGCGTCTACGCAGTCCTTCATCCTGTTTAACAATACCCTGTTGAAGACTTTTCCCGGTATTGAGAGAAGAGTGATGCCCCTGTAGTTATCACAGTTGCTGAGATCGCCTTTCTTCGGTATTTTGATCAGAAGTCCTTCTTTCCAGTTTGTTGGTACTTGTTCCTCATCCCAAATCTTATTGAAGAGAATGTGGAGTATCCTTGCAGTTGCCGCTACGTCTGCTTTTAGTGCCTCTGCTGGAATGTTGTCTGGTCCTGCTGCTTTGCCACTCTTGATTTGTCTGATGGCCATGCTGATCTCTTCAATTGTTGGTGGGCCAACATCGATTGGGAGGTCCGTGGGTGCTGCTTCGATGTTGGGTGGGTTCAGTGGGGCTGGTCGATTCAAGAGTTCTTTGAAGTGTTCTACCCACCTGTTTTGTTGCTCTTCAATGTTGGTGATTACCTCACCTTCCTTGCTTTTCACTGGTCGTTCTGGTTTGCGGCGATTTCCAGAGAGTTTCTTTGTTATGTCATACAGTCGTTTCATGTTTCCTTCTCTTGCAGCCTTTTCCGCCGTCGTTGCTAAATCTTCCACATATTTACGTTTGTCGGTTCTGATGCTCCTCTTCACTTGTTTGTTTACTTCTGTGTATTCAGCTTGTGCCTTGGCTTTTTCTGCTCTTGTTCGACTGGTATTGATTGCTGCCTTCTTGTTCCTCCTTTCTTGAATCTTATCCAGTGTATCAACAGTGATCCATTCCTTGTGATGGTGCTTCTTGTGACCCAGGACCTCATGACATGTTGAAGTGATTGCCTCTTTGATCCCCTTCCAGTTGCTCTCCACAGTAGTTCCTTCTCCATTGAGTAGATCATGAAAGGCCTGGAACTTGTTGCTGAGGACTATCTTGAATTTGTTGAGTTTGTTTGAAGAAAGGCCGTATTGAACTTTTGTGATATTGTCCGCCCCGTTGTCCAGTGCTTCTTGAGTTTCAATTTCATCTTGGCGACCAGCAAGTGATGATCTGATGCTATATCAGCTCCTCTCTTGGTTCTCACGTCCTCCATCGTCCTCCTGAACGTTTTGTTGATGCAAATATGGTCGATTTGGTTTCGTGTAGTGTGATCCGGTGAAGTCCATGTGGTTTTGTGTATGCGTTTATGTGGGAATATGGTGCCGCCTATGACCAGTTTATTGAAGGCACATAGGTTTGCAAATCTCTCACCATTTTCGTTCCTTTCTCCCAGTCCGTGTCGTCCC